GGGGCCTGCCGAAGGACCGGGTCAGTTCAGCAGCGCTGTCATCAGGGCCACCGCACCCGGTCGCTGCGGGAAAGTCAGGCTGGCACGGTGGGTCCCCGCCCTGTGGCAGTGGCTCTGTGGGCAGAGCAGGGGCACACTCCGGGGGGCAGGACCCCCAAGGGCAGCCAGCAGTGGGCCAGGGGCCGGCCGAGTGTGCAGACCGAGGAATGGCTTGGCCCCCCACCCCGACCAAGTCCACGGGCAGGGAACATCGGGCTCCCGGGGCGGGGGTCTCCCACAGAGCTCTCGGCGCCCAGGCCGTCGGCCCCGGGACCGTGCCGGTCCCCTCAGCTCTGCCACAGAGCCGGGTTTTGGGAAGGGCAGAGCCCCCTCCCGGGACCCCCAGGATCAGCTGCTGGGGACCACTCGGACTCACCCTGCCTGACGCCCCTCCCCTCCGTGCTTCCTGTGCCCTCCACAAAAATTGTTCAGGTGACCTTGACCCCCGACCCCCGACCCACACTGCTGGAAGCTCGGGCAGCACCACCAGGGTTGTTCCAGCGTGGCCGACGGGCTCGCTCTGGGGTGCTGGTGGCGGAGCCCCCTCCTGCTGGGGGGTGAAGGAGAGGGCGGGAGCTGCAGGGAGACGGCCCGAGGGCCATCCTGCCGGGAATGGAGAGGACACCAGGGAGCACGGATGGGAAGAAGGGCTGTTCTCCGAGCCCCTGGATGCAGCCGTGTCTGAAGCCCTCCCCCCACCCCGAGTTTTCCCCGATTCGGACAATAAACCCGCCACCACAGCAGCTGTGCGTGGGCTCTCCTGTCCGCCCCCTCCTCGGGGCCTCCTGGCCCCTGGCCCGAGGCAGAACGGGGGCCTTACCCCTGAAGGCAGGGTCATCAGACTTTCATTCCAAAGCGGTGGCCTCCGTGCTGATCATGCTCTGTCCCTGAGCGCCTCAGGCTGCACTGAAGCTCAGAATGTCACGGGAGAAAAACAAAAAAAGACAAGGAACTAAAAAAGGGGAAAGCTGCCTCTCTGAGCCGAGACGCGCCTGCAGGAGAGAGCAAGCGCCGCTTGCTCCAGAGGGCCACAGCGCTGGCCGCGGCCGCAGCGGGCAGGACAGCCACCGGCGGCTGGCCTCGGCCGCCCGGCTCCCTCATCAGTTCTCATTAGCGCGCCGTGTCCCCACACACAGGGCAGAGCTCTCTCAGGGACAGCGCCAGGCCTGCCGTGGCCGGAGCAGAAAGGATCTTCTAGCACAGGGAGGGAGTGCGGCAGAGCCTGCTGCCCCATGACAGCGCCAGGCCCAGGGGACGCAGGGACAGCACCCTGCCAGCCTGAGGCTGGCCACTCCGACCCTGTCTGCAGCCCGGAGCTGCTCTGGCCCCAGACCCAGAAGGAGGCGGGCAGGCCACCTCTGCTGGGCCAGGCTCCGACCCTGGGGCCGGGGCCCGGCAGCCTCCTCTCCGGCGGCCCCCTCGGCACCGAGCTCCACGCTGTCCACCCAGAGCACCTCCGCCCCCCCCCCGGCTGCCCCCACAGGCTCCCAGTGCCACCCTCCCGGCCGCAGGAGCCAAGACCCCACAGCCAGCCAGGACTCTCTCTCACACCCCTCACGGGTCAGCTTCAAAATCCCCCCACAGCCCCGGCCGGGCAGCCCAGTGGCTGGGAATGTCGTCCCGTCCACCAAAGGGTTGGAGGTTCGATCCCCGGCTGGGGCCCGGGTGGGAGGCACCCTATCGATGTTTCTCTCTCACGTCAACGTTTCTCTCCCTTCTCCCTTCCTCTCTCTCAACACGAGAGAGAGAGACACCCAGGACCTGGCCAGGCGGTTACCCCGTCTGGCCACCATCCCCCTCAGCCGGAGGACTGCGCTGCTGCCCCCTCCCCGAGCTCCAGCTCGGCCCCCCTCACCAGAAGGGGCCTCTGCACAGCATGCTTCCGGTGCCGTGGGCTCTGTCCCCAGCCCGGGGGGCCCTGCAGGGGTGTCTCTCCCCTGGGGCGTTTGCAGAAGAGGGGGCCAAACGGATGATGCTTGTCCCCTCCCCCTCCGCTCTCCAGCGGACAACACCTCAGCTGTCACCTCTGCAGGGCAGCGGTCGGCCCGGGCAAGGCCTGAGCCCCCACTCCTGCAGGCCTGTGCTCCAGTTACCGTTCCTTCTCGGGCTGGGGGGGCCACTCGGTCCCGCCACAGTGCCCGTTGCTCGGGGACACCACTCGCGGAGGGGGCCCTGAATTCTGTGTGGGTGCCCGGGCCCCACCTCCTCCTCCTGCCGATGGGGACGGTCAGCCCCAGAGAACCGGCTCCTCCCGCCTGCGGCTCCCGGCCGAGGGGCTCAGCCACCCTGCACGCTGCAGCAGGAGCTGAGTGCGCGGAGACCCCCGTGGGCCCTTGTGGGGGGACCTCTAACCCTACAGAGCCCGGAGGGGCCGAGGCACAATTTCCGCAGTGGGTCCCTTGGCAGGGGGGCCCTGGGGCCCGGCCGGCTTCCCCCCGGGCCCTGGATGCTCAGGGTCTTCTTGCTGGAGACGCCGTGCTGTGCGGTAGGACGCACCCCGCAGGGTGGCACCCACCTCCTCCACTGTGCCCTCGGGAGCCCCTTCCTGTGTCCCGGGGGGCGAGCCGCTCCAAGGGGAGGCAGAGGGCCACACCACCAGTGCGTCCTTGTCTGGGAAGCGGGCCCCGGGCTGCAGCGGACCCCACACCTGTGGGCCAGACCCCTCGAGCCCCCGGATGAACAGGGTGGGGGTGGGGGACGCGCAAGCCCACCCCTGAGCAGGTACGTGAGGGCTGTCCAGTCCCGCAGGGCCGGACCTGGCCGCTGCGCCACCAGGTGGCGGTTGCTTCTCCTGGAGGATGTGTCACTGGGGGGGCCCAGCAGGTCTGTGCGGCTGGGGGGGTGGACACTCAGGGGTGCCCCAGAACCCGGAGAGATTCTCACCAGGGCCCTTCAGGAGCCGGAAGTCCCGCCCACTGGGAGGAGGGGTCCCTCACCTCCGCTCCAGCGCAGCAGCAAGCCCCAAAGGCCCCGCCACCAGGACCTGTGAGCCCCCTGCGCCCACACGGCAGGCTCTCCCGAAGGGGGGGCCGCACAGCACACGGGCCCGTGCCCGGCCTTGTGCCCCCTCCCCCCAGCGCCTGGCGCCCGCACGTGCACCACCTGGGACCATCTGCCGGGGCCACTCCCTCAGCGACGGCAGGTGCTCGACGGTTAGCTCGGGGGACCCTCGGACGGACGGACGGGTGGACGGTCACCCCGTGGGTGGGCGAGCTCGCTCCTGGGGGCGGGCTGCAGGCTCTGGCTTGGCTGACTGGCGGGGGGGCGGGGGGTGAGCGGGGCGTTCGCCCAGCACCCCCCTTGATGGGCTGGGCATGTCGTGCCGGGGGGCACTGGCGCAGCCCAGTGTGGCCAGGGCCGGCCTCGGGGAGGAGCAGGGCCGGGTGGGGTCCCGCCTTCAGGGAGCGGGAGACAGGGAGCAGCCCAGGTCCTGGGGAGGCTTCTCGGCGGGAGCCCTGGGTCCAGCCGCCCTCGCAGAGCGCGCCAGAGCACCTATTCACCTCGGCTGGAGTAGGTGTCCAGTCCCGGCGTGGCGCTGCCCACCCGTCACGTTGTGGCGTGTGTGGTGGGCCGGCAGCTGGGGGAGCAGGCCCCGCTGGCGGGCAGGAGGGGCACCGCCAGGGCCTCACAGAGAGGGGATGGGGCGGGGCTGGGCGGGGAGCGCCGGAGCTTCCCCGCGGAGCCCAGCACAGGCCGCAGGAAGAGGTGGAACAGTGGGTCCCCTCCCTGCAGCCAGCCCCGCCCCCACTCCCCGAAGTTTCTGGAGCACGTCTTGGGGCGGAGGGGTGGTCCCGCAGGACCCGGAACCGGCGGGAGCACAGGCGTGCGGCGCGGTGTGGACCGGCGCCCCCGCCTCGGTGCCCCAGCCCCCAGCCCCCACGCAGACACGCCCACCGCTGCGTCCCTGAGGCCCCGGCGGACCGCGGCGGCACGGGCTCGGCACGGAGAGTCCCTGCCTCCCTCCCCTCCGACGCTGTTCCCTTCGCCGTCGCTGCCTGATGCGCGTGTCTGACTGCCGTTGCGATCCCCCAGGCTGACGCTCACTGGCTGTTTCCCTGGTCTGTGGGTGTCCGCGTGCGTCTGTTTGTGGGCGTGTCTGTCTGTCTGGCTGTGTCTGCCGCGGAGTCTGTCCTTGACCCTGTCGGTCTGAACGTGCCTGGGGGGAGGGGCGCTGCCTTTCTGAGCGTCTCCTCCCCCATCCCTCTCCGCAGGCGCTAGCGCAGCGACAGACGCCGCCTGGCTGCGCCCTAGCGCACTGACCTCGTCTGTCCACGCAGCCGTGACCACGCCACCGCGCCGTCCGCTGGGGGGGCCTCTACCTGGGCTCCGAGGTGCTGGCCGCTCCCCCCTCAACTCGCGGCCCCCGTCTGCGCCCCGGTGGGGTGGGCGCAATCCCCTCCCAGCGGGGTCTGCTGGCCCCTCGGCTTTCCTTATGTAACTCCACATTTGTCTGCGCCCTGTGGGTCACCCTGGGCTCTGTGCTGGGCCTTGCCCGCGCGAAGACTGAAACCCAGAGTCCCACGCACATGGGGAGCGCAGCGCACCGGCCAGGGCGCAGGCCCTTGAGGACCCCTCCCCCCTTCTCGTAAAGACCTTTCTTCCCTCAGACCCGCTTGACCCAAGAACGAAGGAGGGTCCGGCGCGCAGGGGCCCCTGAGCGCGGGTGCTTTCCCCACCCCCACTCCGGGTCCCCACAGTCACCCCGGCTCCCGCCAGCCGCCAGCCCCAGATCCCCGGGGCCGAGAGGGCACCGGCCGGGCCGAGCGCCCCAGAGATCGGACCCTGTGCGCACGGGTCGGCTGACAGCAAGAGAGCCCCCAGCCCTGCCCCGCCGCTCCCGGCCCGGTTCCCAGCCTGCAGCCGAGCGCACCCCGGCTGGGCTCCGGCGGCCGGTGGGCACGCGGCGCTGTCCGTGGTGCTGCCGGCGCCGGGAGGGGCGGGGGCGGGGCGGGGGCGGGGCGAGGGCTGCAGCCAATGGCCGGGGCGCTGCGCGGGGCTGGGCGGGCTGGGCGCGGGGCGCTCTTGGCAGCGCGCTGCGCTCGGGGCGCACAGGCGCTCCGGCGGCGGCTTGGGCTCCGGCTCTGCTCCTGCCCCGCTTCGGCTGCAGCGGTCGTGCCGCTGGCCCCACTCGGCTCGGAATCCGCCCGTCCCCTCGGCGCCGACCGCCCCGGCCTAGGCGCCCGCGGACCATGCGCCGGGCATCCCCTGGGGAACCCGGCCCAGCCGAAAGCCCGCAAACACCAGGCTCCCGGCCCGGGGCCCCTCCCGGCCGGCCGGTCGGCGGTCCGCACCCTGCCCCGCGCCCCGGCGCCGCTTGAGCCCGCGGGGCCATGGAGCGCACGGCACCCGACGGGCCGCTGAACGCGTCGGGGGCGCTGGCTGAAGAAGCGGCGGCGGCGGCGGCGGCGGCGGCAGGGACGCGCGGCTTCTCCGCCGCCTGGACCGCCGTGCTGGCCGCGCTCATGGCCCTGCTCATTGTGGCCACGGTGCTGGGCAACGCGCTGGTCATGCTGGCCTTCGTGGCCGACTCGAGCCTCCGCACCCAGAACAACTTCTTTCTGCTCAACCTCGCCATCTCCGACTTCCTCGTGGGTGAGTCCCTCAACCCCCGCCCGAGTCCTTGGGCTCCCGGCCCGCTCAGGGGAGCGGGAACTGGAGCGCCGAACTAGAGTGCCTTTTGCTGGGGCACGCGCCCCTGTGGGGGGCCCGGCCCGGGGAGGGCGCCTTCGGGACTGCTGGGGAGGTGGGCGCGGGCAAGGCGCCTTGCCTCCCTGCCGCGACGTTAAGGGGGCTGGGGTGTGACGCCCCTGCGGAAGGGGCCGGAGCAGGCGGCCGCCGGGAGAGGCGCAAGGCACGGCGGCCTCGGGCGCAGCGCTGGCTCCTGCAGGAGCCAAACAAAGGCTGTGGCGGAGTCGGGGTGGGCGGAGGGGGCTGGAGTGAGGTTTGGCGGAGTGGACATGGAATGGGGGGGAGCCGTGTTGGGGGAGGGGGGCCGTGGGAAAGGCAGGGGTGGGGGTGGGGAGAGGCTCCCAGGAGCGCGCTCTCACGTGTCCGAGCTGCTGCCGGCGGGGAGGCGGGGCACCCGCGGTGGGGGCTGGAGCGCCAGACACCTGTTGGGGCTGCGAGGAGGAGCAGCGTCTGCTGGCGCTCCAGGCAGGGCTCGGCCGCCGCCAAGTGCCCTGCGAGCCCGGAGGACGGCTTTCCTGGTTTCTGAGCTGCCGAGGGAAGGCTGTCAGAAATCAGGATGGGGTCTGGCATCCGGCCGGCCAGAGGAGACGGGGAAAATTCTCCTCCCTCCTCCCTCTGGGGACGGGAGGGCTGGGCGGAAGGAGGCCTAGGAAGCACGGAATGCAGGATCAGAGGCTCACTGTTCCTGGGGGGCCCCCAGGTCCCCGCAGCAGCTTCCCTCCCACCCCCAACCCCAGGGGGCGCTAGTGGAGCTGGGGGCCGGGCCGAGGCGCCAGGCCAGCTCCAGGGCGGAGGGGGTGCCTGGGAGACAGGGTGGAGGAGGTGGGTGAGGTGGGCTTGGGGCGACGGCCGGTCCCGCCCGCCTCTGCAGTGCAGCCGGCCGGAGCCCAGCACGGCCCCGCACGGCCCAGCACGGCCCCGCTTGCCCGCAGGAGCCTTCTGCATCCCCCTGTACGTGCCCTACGTGCTGACCGGCCGCTGGCCCTTCAGCCGGGGCCTCTGCAAGCTGTGGCTGGTGGTGGACTACCTGCTCTGCACCTCCTCCGTGTTCAACGTCGTGCTCATCAGCTACGACCGCTTCCTGTCCGTCACCCGCGCCGTGAGTCTGGGTGCGGGGGGGCCGCGCTCGCGCCCCGGGGGGCGGGGGTCCACCGTGGCCCCGGGAGGCACGTGGCAGGGGCAGCCGCTTCTGGGTGGTGGGCACAGCCGGGTGAGCCCGGTCCCCGCTGGCCTCACACCCGGCACACCGGGCAGTCTGTACGGCCACCTGCCCGCTCAGCGGCCCCGCGCTGCCTGGAGGGTGGTCCCGGGACAGGCGGAGGCAGCGGCAGGACCCGGCACCCGATGCTCCTCTCCCGGGCAGGCCCAGAGTCCTGGCAGCTGAGGGCGGGCCTGGGCCAGAGGTCCCTGGAGGCAGGACCCCTTGTGTGTGTTTCTGCGTGTGTGTCTGTGTGTCTCTCTGTGCGTCTGTGTGTGCCCGTGGGCTCCGAGGAAGACAGACATTGGGGTCCTGGCTCTGCAGGTTCCCAGGGGCCGGGGCCCTGGGCCGCCAGGGTGTCCGGCGTCGCTGCCACGCGGGTGGGCCGTTGGCAGCGCTGGGGTGGGGGTCTGCCCTTGGCCTCTCGTCTTCCCCTTGATGGCTCCACCTGCCGCCCCATGGGCCCTCTGCTTGGGGCCACACGTGTGCTGTCTGGGGAGAAGGGGACAGGGTGCGGGGAGCACGGGGTCGGGCCCGCAGGCCTGGGCTGGCCCCCGGCCCCGCCTCCTCAGCCGGTCCACCCTCCCTCGCTGAGCCATCAGGAAAGAAAGTGGGGACAGCGACAGGGCCACTGAGAGGGTTAACGTGAAGCGGTATCCGAGAGGCATCGTGCACAGGGCCCAGGGCCCTGTGGGTGCTCGGGAGACAGGGAGGACGACACCCACCTTTGGGGGGGGTCGCAGCGGGGAGGGGGGCGGCAAACGCCCCCAGAACCTGGCTGTGGGACGGTGTGACAGGCGCCGGCCAGCCCGGGGCTCCGAGGGGGAGGGGAAGGGCGGGGGCAGAAAGGAGAGGGAGCCGGCACCCCTGCCGGGCGGGCCTCCCCCATCCTGCAGTCCCGCTGCAGCCGGCGGCAGCCAGCCGGCCGGGCTCGGCCCCGTCCCTCCTGACCGCTCCTCGTCCCGCCGCAGGTCTCCTACCGGGCCCAGCAGGGCGACACGCGGCGGGCGGTGTGGAAGATGGTGCTGGTGTGGGTGCTGGCCTTCCTGCTGTACGGGCCGGCCATCCTGAGCTGGGAGCACCTGTCGGGCCACAGCGCCATCCCCGAGGGCCAGTGCTACGCGGAGTTCTTCTACAACTGGTACTTCCTCATCACGGCCTCCACGCTCGAGTTCTTCACGCCCTTCCTCAGCGTCACCTTCTTCAACCTCAGCATCTACCTGAACATCCAGAGGCGCACGCGCGAGCGGCTGGACGGGGCGGCCGGGCCGGAGCCCCCGCCCGAGGCCCAGCCCTCGCCGCCCGCTGCCGCGCGCGGCTGCTGGGGCTGCCGGCGGAAGGGGCGCGGGGAGGCCATGCCCCTGCACAGGTGCGGGGCGGGGGAGGCGGCCCCCGGCCCCGAGGCCGGGGAGGCGGCCCCGGGGGGCAGCGGCGGGGGCACCGTGGGCTCGCCCACGTCCAGCTCGGGCAGCTCCTCGCGGGGCGCGGAGCGGCCCCGCTCGCTCAAGAGGGGCTCCAAGCCGTCGGCGTCCTCGGCGTCGCTGGAGAAGCGCATGAAGATGGTGTCCCAGAGCATCACCCAGCGCTTCCGGCTGTCGCGGGACAAGAAGGTGGCCAAGTCGCTGGCCGTCATCGTGAGCATCTTCGGGCTCTGCTGGGCCCCGTACACGCTGCTGATGATCATCCGGGCCGCCTGCCACGGCCGCTGTGTGCCCGACTACTGGTACGAGACGTCCTTCTGGCTGCTGTGGGCCAACTCGGCGGTGAACCCGGTCCTCTACCCGCTGTGCCACTACAGCTTCCGCCGCGCCTTCACCAAGCTGCTGTGCCCCCACCGGCTCAAGGCGCAGCCGCACAGCTCCCTGGAGCACGGCTGGAAGTGAGCCGGCTCGCCGCGGCCACGCCTCCACGCTGCGGCCCGGGCTCCCGGGCGGCCGCCTGCCGGGTGGGAGCCGCCCCTCGTCTGTGGCCAGGCTGTGCGCCGTGGGGGCCTCTCCCGGACCACCCACCCGCAGGGGAGGCGGCTTGGTGGGTGGGCCGAGCTCGCTGCCTGAACTGAAATGGGGTGGCCGGTCCTGCCCCCCGAGTCCGAGGTCCACCCCAGGAGGGTCTCAGCCACAATGTCCACCCCCAGACAGTGATGGCCAGTGGTGTCCACCCTTTGCACAACTGCTGCTTGGCGTTCTTCCCAAAGCAAATGCTTGGTATGTGCTCCGGGCTTCCCCACCCGGGGTCGGCCCCTCGTGGGCCCGCCCCCCACACACTGCACACACCTGGGCGCACCGGTGCACCCTCCCCGCCCGCCCCCCACGAGCCCGGGCCGCCCCCTGCTGCCAGCCGCCCCCTGCTTCCGTCCGGGCCCCGGGCCGTCCAGCCCTCCTTCCTGCGGCACCCACCGCCCCAAAGAGCCGCCGGCCCCCCGGGGACGCGCTGCCACTCTCTGCGTTTCGCGCTGGGTGTCTCGGGAAGACAAAGACGGGGAAAACACATCTGTGAACTCGCTGTTCCTTGGGTGTTTAATCAAGAGAGACGAGATTGCAGAGCAGCTCCGGGCAGGATTGGCAGGTGCGGGCTCCCACGCCCTCACGCCTCCGGCTCGTTTCCGGCGGGGCTGCGCCAGCTGCGCCCGCCCCCTGCCCCCGGCTGGTGGCTCGGGGGGCGTCCGGGGCCGGACGCCTGCCTGGCAGCTCCGCCAGCGTGTCCTGGGGCTGGCGGTCCGAGGGCCAGCCCCCAGCCCTGCCCCGGGGTCCTGAGGCTCGTGGGGTGGTCAGAGGGGACCAGAGCTGGGGTGCTGAGTGGGGGGCCACTTCACCGCGTCTCCTGCACCCGTGGGCGCCCTGCATGCCCCGCCTCCCCTGTGCCCGCTGCGCTGGCCCTGCAGACCCTGAGGCCCTCAGTAAAGTGTATTTTTTATTGGTGCTGATTCCTGAGACCTTTGTTGCGGGGGTGGGCTTCAGTGGGGCCCTAGGGACACGAGGCCACTCAGCGGGTGGACCTGAGGTGCAGGCCTGCCCCTCTCCCGGACTCAGTGTTCTCTTCCAAGTGGGGGGGGGCCCACTGTGGGGGGACTGCTGTGGGGGGAAAGGGCAACCTGGCCAGCACACCCCAGTAAGGGACAGGCACCCAGCAGGGCCCCCCTTCCCCGCACCCGGCCCCTCTGCTGCCCCCAGAGGCTGTCATTGTCCTTGGCTCTGACCTGGAGTCTGGGGTGCTTCCAGGGGTGTGGGAGCTGGAGCTGAGCCCAAGAAGTGGGGGAGGCCCAGCAGGGGGAGGGGAGGCAGGTCTGGTGGGGAGCTGCCCAGTGCAAAGGCCCAGAGGCAGGACTGGAGGGTGCTGGGTGGGTGGGGAGAAGCACCTGACCACAGGGAGCTGACCAGCCCCACCCTGGGGAGCTGTACGGCACTTCCAAATATTCCCCGAGAACCCCGAAAACTTCCTCCAGGTTCCTCGGCTGGCACCCCTCCCCCTCGGTCCCCGTTGGTATGCCCGGGACCACCCTGGTCCCGACGGCCCCTCCCTCATGACCGAGGGCTCCCCTGGAGGCTGGGTGCTGTCTGGAGCGTAGGTGGCAGCGAGCGCAGGGTTTGCTGGTGCAGGGACGGTGGTGGCCACCGTCTCCGGGGCCCAGAGTTCAGGGGAGCCCCTGTGGGCAGCTGTGCCTGCTGACCCCGCTGGCCCCAGCCTGAGCCCCCTGTCGGCCCCCGTCCTGCAGCCCAGGGCCATCTGAGCAAGGACAAAGGACCCGCCCTCCTCGCCACCAGCACCGCCAGAGGCTCCCTGCCCCTCCGCCCAGCCTGCTAAATGGCTACAAATTGGAGGATAAAAGCACAGGCTTTCAAGCAATTTTGCCTTCAATCTCTGGAAAGTGCCGCTCGGGCTCCCGCACGGGGACAGGGCTGAGGAGACCGGCCCTGCGGCAAACACACTCGCCAGGGGCCTTCCCCCTCCGCCCAGCCCAGCCCAGCCCAGCCCCGCGCCCGCCGCACACAGAGGCTGATCCGCCCCCTGCCTGTCCCCCCCAGCTGGGGATGTTTACTGAACACCTACTGTGTGCCTGGCGCACAGCTAGGAGGCGCGCGCGCACGCACACACACACACACACACACACACACACACACAGAGGGAAGCGAGTCGCTCCCACGGGGGCGGGGACCAGAGGAGCGGCCCAGCTCACACGCCCAGGGGGCCTTCCTGAGGGGTTGGCGTTTCCCACGCTGCACGAGCAGGGCTGTGGTCACGGGGGCAGGAGGGGGGGCCCCCGAGAGGCACAGGCCGGGCGCTCAGCAAGGCCCAGGGCTGGCACGGGCTGCAGGGGCCCCAGGAAGAGCTTCTGGGCGCCTGGGACCAAGACCCTGAGTTCTCATGGTGCCCAGCAGGCAGCCCCTGGTCCTCCCTAAAGAGGCCCAGTTAATCATCGCTGCGTTTGAGGGGCCAGGGCCCTGACGGAGGGGGCTGGGCTCTCCCTGGCAGGGCTGAGATGTGGAGGCCCCCGTGACCGTCTGGCCCCTACCTCCCCGCACTCCCCCATCCCAGACAAAGCCTCTCCACCACCACACACTGGAGCACCCGACGTCCACGCAGACGCCCACTAGGGGCGCTCACACTCTCTGCTCTGCGGATGCGAGAACTGGGGTCCCGAGGCCGGGATGCGACTGCACCCCCCAACTCAGCAGGACTGGGGCCGGGACGCCAGCTGCCCCTCCGCTGGGTTCTCCCCTGGGTGCCATCTCGGTGTCCCCCGGGGTGGGAGCGGAGTGGGGGACGTGTCCTGGAGGTGCATCCTGGGATGGCTCCCAGGAGCCCGGGTCTCACACGGGGATGCTGTCCCCCAGGGAGCGGGCGCCCGTCTCGGGTGGCGCCTCAGTGGGAACTCTTCAGACGGACCCTGGGGGGCACAGAGCCGTCCTTCAGAGGAGGGAGGAGACAGGGACGTGAGGAGGAGGAGGGTGGCCGCTGTGGGAGCGGCACCGAGCTAAAAATGGGTCTGACACCCCAAAGTCACGCTGGTTTCCAAATCCGGACTGGCTCGGGGACCTTTACGTGCTGGCGCTGTGAGTGCCGGGCGGTCTTCAGAGCGCCCAGCAGACCCCGGCTCCCAGCTGGGCTGTGGGAACGAGGGAGGGGGCGCCCTCCGCCCCCACCCTGCACCCCCCTCGGGGCAGAATCTGGTCTCTGAGATGCCGGGAGGGCGGGGGGGGGCTGTGCTTCCTCGCCGGCCCCTCCTGGTGCCCTCGGGGCCCCCGGGCTTCTTTGGGATGGTGTCCACACACTGTCCCGGCCTCGGCGACCACCCCCGCGCTGCGTGCGGAGGGAGGGGCGGCAGGAAGCAGCAAGGCCTGGAGGCTCCAGGGAGGGCAGGCCAGCCTGGCAGGAGGCAGGGACGGGGCGAAGCCCCTGCAGCGGGGTGGGCAGAGCCCCGGCCACGGTCCTGCTGCCGGAGGAGTGAGGGGGCTTCCCAAAGGGGGCCCCAGTCTCGAGGGGGCACGGAGCTCTCCGCCATTTCCCCCAGCCCCCTCCTGCACCTGGGAACAGGTGCGCACCCACTTGCTACCCGAGGCCCCACGTTCTAACATAGAACAGGGAGGAGGAAGCAATGGACCCCCACAAAGACCAGGGGAGGGCTGACAGCTCCCACAGAGGCTGGTGGGGGGGTTCCAGGGGGCACGGCGGCAGCCCCAGGCCCCTTGTGCCCTGGGGGAGCCCTGAAGTGTGGACACAGGACTCTGGAGAAGGGGGTGCTGGGCCGTAGGGCTGACATGGGGGACTCGGAAGGTCCTGCGTCCCGAAGCCTCGGTCCCCTTCCTCAGAGCCGCCTGGAGAGGCCGGGGCTGCCACCCACAGCAGGGGACGGGAGGGGGGGGACCGACAGGGAGGGGCAGGCGCTCCCCACACCCAGAGGCCGGGGGAGAATGGGGCGATGGAGGGCGAGGTGGGGTCCGCTGCTGGGCACGGCCCCGCTGTGCACACCAGGGCAGCCCCCCTGCAGCCCCGGGCCACCAGGGGAGGGGCGGGGGGACGTCGGAGATCGAAGTCCATGTCCCCAGGGAGATGTGGACAGGCGGTGGCCGGGCTGATGGAGAAGCCACAGCCGAACAGCGTCGGGGCAGATGGCTGTAGCGGAAACGGCTGGAGGGTGGCAGTGGGGACGGGCGTGAGCGGCACAGGGCGGTGTTTCTGGCGGGAGCCCCTCGGCACCACCACCTGCCGCTCACGAACACCTCCAGAGAAAAGGCACCCGGCCACACCTGACGCCAGCCGCCGTCCGCCCCCTCGTTCCGCACACAGCCGAGTCTGGAGGCTGCGGGGCCATGGCTGGGAGGGGATGGGGACCCCGCCCTCCCTCCGGGGGGCGCTCCTGCGGGCAGGCAGCCTGACCGTGCCCTCCGCTGCGTGCTGTGGTGGGGGCGCAGCCGCTGAGACAAGAGGCCCCGGGCAGCTCGCCCACCTCAGGCCTGGCCCCCGAGAGGAAGGCTCTGTGGGCCCGGCAGGTGGCCGGGCGTGGGGACCACCCCCCAGAGCAGGAGCTGACCCTGCAGGACAGTGCCTGGTGGGGGGCCGGTGCGAAGCCCGTCCACAGCGCTGACCGCTACATGCAGGAGAGAAACCCCGGGACCTCAAGGCCAATCCCGGGGCCCAGCCTGTCCTCCCACTCCCCTGCCCTCCGCCCCGCCGCCCCCCTGCAGGGCCCTCGGGGACAGGTCGGCAGCATCAGACTTTATTGGGGGAAACGGTGGTGGTGCTCTGCTGGGGGAGTGGATGAGCCACAGCGGCCTCGGCCTGGCTGTCCTCACGGCCTGCGGGCGGCGGGTAGGGCGGCCGCTGGGGCCCTCAGCCTCTCCGGGGTCACTCCAGCAGAGACAGGGTGGGCCCTGGCCTCGACGGCCCGCCCCCCAGGGCTCTTCCCCGAGCCCACCAGAAGGCTGGAGGCCAGCGTGGGCCCAGCAGTCACCCTGACCGCCGCAGACGGCCGCACAGCCTGCCCCGGGGCCGGATATTGGGTGCACTCAGCCATGACGCCGGCACCGGGCTCAGCTCCCAGGCTCGGCCGCCTGGGGACAGCAGGTGGCACCTCCCTGCTCCTCCAGACACGGTGGCGGTGGCGGTGTCGGAGAGGCACCTGCAGACGGGGCCTGTCTCCAGCCGCTCTGAGGCCGTGGGGACAGCCGGGGACTCGCAGGGCCACCCGTGGCGGCTGCTGTCCTGCAGGCTGGCGCCGACGAGCCGCGAGGGCACCTCCGGCTCCAGTCCCGCTGGGTCGACGCCCTGCACCCCCGCAGCACGGCCCCTGCTGCTGCGGGCACCAACCGCAGGGACGAGAAGGTCCCCGAGAGTCGGACAGGAGGCTGACGGTGCGGGGGCTCGGGGGAGCAGGCTGAGGGGGGGCCGTGCAGAGCAGGGAGTCAGCCCCGCCGAGCGGCACGCTACCACCTGAGCGGCTGGCGGCCCTGGGCCAGCTCGGCGGCCACGTGCGCGTCGTGCAGCTCCTTGAGGCGCAGCAGCAGCTCCTCCAGGTTCTCCCCGGTGACGGCCGACAGGGCGATGGCCGTGCCGCCCAGGCGGGCCTGCAGCGCGGGCAGGTTGGCGCGCGCCTCCGGCAGGTCGACCTTGTTGGCGACGACGGCGTGCGGCCGCCGAGACAGGCCCGGCTGGTACTGCTCCAGCTCGAACTTCAGGGCCTCGAGCTGGGCCCCGGGCTCCGGCGCCGCCAGGTCCAGCACGAACAGCAGGAAGCCGCAGCGCTCGATGTGCCGGAGGAAGGCCAGCCCCAGGCCCCGGTTCCGGTGGGCGCCTCGGATGATGCCCGGCACGTCGGCCACTGCGGGAGATGGGCAGGGCTGGGGTCTCAGACACGCCTTTCAAGGACCCCTGGAACCTCAGCTCTGAGTTTCACAGAGGGCCGAGGACTGCTTGGGTGACGGGCACGGTGACGGGCCCTTCTGACGAGGAGTGTTTACTGGCTGGAACGGCATGCTCCAGTCCTCCCAGCTCCCAACGTGGCTGTCGAAGGGGACCGCCCCCCCACCCCCCCGCCCGCGGCCCTTCGACAACCCGGCTCCCAGCAGACACCCACGGGGCGCGGGGTGAACGGGGGTGCCGAGGGGGCGCGCAGCCCCCAGCAGGCCTGCCCTTCTGCCCTTTCTGGGACGTGTCCCCCCCCCCCCCGGAAGAGGCTCCTCCTCGCAGGGCAGGGGCGGGAGCCCCGCAGGGGCCGAGCCGCCTCCTCGCGTTGGAGACGTGAGCGCAGACGCGGGGTGGGGGGAGGGCAGCACGAACCCGGGGGCGGATGCAGACCCTCGGCCCCCCGCCGAGAAAGACCGGGCCCCCGGGTCCCAGACTCCAGGCAGCCCACCTCGCCCAGCCCCACCTCCCAGAAAGAGTCCCGGAAGCCCACCTGCCACCTGCTGGTGGTCCTCGTAGCGCACGATGCCCACGTGGGGGTTCAAGGTCGTGAACGGGTACGCGGCCACGGCGGGCTTTGCGTTCGAAATGGCCCGGAGGAGCGAGGACTTGCCCGCGTTGGGGAACCCGACCTGCCAGACAGGGGGACATGCTGCCACCTCCTCCGTCTGGGCCGGGCCGGGCACGGCTCCTGGCCGAGGGCACAGGCCGGCCGGAGAGAGGGGGCTGCTGCTCTCCTGCAGGCCGGCGGCCATCCCACCCCCGACACCAGTCTCCCGCGGCCCACCCCCCGCCGGGGGCCCCGGGGACGCCCACCATGCCGGCGTGGGCCACCGTCTTGAGCTCCAGCGAGAGGACCCGCTCCTGCCCGGGCTCCCCGGGGGTGCAGGTGAGGGGCGCGCGGTTGTCGTTGGCCAGGAAGAAGCGGTTGCCCTTCCCTCCGGCCCCGCCCAGGGCGGCGAGATACTCGTCCCCCGGGTGGGACAGGTCGGCCACCACCTTGCTCCCCTCCTTCACTAGCGTGCCCAGGGGGACCTGGGAAGAGAGGCGGTGACCGTCAGGCGGGACCAGGTGTGTTTGCCCAGTCCGGGGAGGGGACGCGGTCGGGCGGGGGCGGGGCAGGCACAGCCAGGTGCCCTCCACGCAGCTGCAGCTGGGGGTTACAGGAAGAGGTCCCCGCCCCCGCCCAGGATGAGAAGCACAGGTGGCTGTTCACACAGTGCCTCTGGCACGCGAGGTGAGCCGAGGGGAGCGGGCACATCGGGGACCCCTCCCTCAGAGGGCCCCCGGGGTGGGGACTGGGGGCGACTCCTGGACCAAGGCGAGAGGGACGGGGCCCCCCAGGGCCCCCTCTCTGTACATGCGGTGGCTCTGTGGCTGCCGGGGCGGCCCCACGCACACCCGTGTGGAGTCCGCGCGACGCCCGGGCTGGGGCGGGGCCGCTGGGCGGGGGCCGCGGCTCCGGGGGCCACAGCCGGACCGACCGGGAGCCCGGGAGGGCCAGACCCGAGCCGGGCGGGCTCTGCAGCCGGGGCTCTGCGGCCGGGGCTCACCGGGACGTAGAGGACGGCGCCGCCTCGCCCTGAGCAGTTCTTGCTGCCGCCGTCTTCTCCGTCGGTGCCCTGGTACCGGGGCAGGACCAAGGACAGGGACTTCACCTGCCGGTCGACTGCAATCGGAGGGAGAGCCGCCCTGTTCCTCTGCGTCCCCGCCCCCCGCACGCCGCCCTGTTCCTCTGCGTCCCCGCCCCCCCCCCGCACGCTCCGGGGGGGGGGTGGGCCACCGAGGCCTCGCGCTCGGGGGTGGGGGCGAGGCTGCCGCCGAAGTTCCCAGGGCGGCCACAGCTACACTCTGTTGTGTAAAATGCAATTTCTGAAATTGCAATTTCTTTCAGAAAATGCAATTTCTGAAAACTTCCAAACCAGCTGTGCCGTCGATTTAAAAATAGCTACACTTTATGATGTTGTGAGTGTTTACCATGTGAACACGGCTACATCCTACTAGGGCGACGTTTACCGAGTTCACCGAGTCTCCAGCTCACTGCGCCTGCGCCCGCAAGGTGCTGAGCGAGGACACCACCCCAGCACCCACGCCTGCCCTGCGCCTGGCTGGAACTCGGGGCTCCTGACAGGGAGGTTCCCCGGTGTGCGCCCGAGATTAAACGAAACAACAAAACGACAACCCCACTATCAAAGTTGGGCTTTGGTGCATCATTTAAAGGCGAGCATCACATAATTTAACAAAAATGATGCCATCCACCAACTTTTGACTCAAGTTGCCGTCAGGATAAGGTCGACCCTTCCTGCCCCCAGGCACCCACCCAGGCCAGCGCTGCCCCCCCTGACCCCCCCTCCCCCCAGCACCTACCTCTCAGGACGACGTGGCCACCGCTGCCGCCGTCGCCGCCGTCGGGGCCCCCGAACTCCTTCCGGGGCTCGCTATGGAAGCAGCTCGCTCCGTTGCCTCCGCGGCCGCCCCGGAACAGCACCCGGCGGTGGTCCACGAAGTGTCTTTTCTACGGAGAGCACGGGGCCGGCAGCTTGCCACTCACGCCACCCCCGCCGCCCCCGCCGCGCGCCTCTGCTGCCTGCAGCGGGCTTCCCAACGGGAGGGGTCTCTGCGGGTCCCGGGGCGGGGGGTGCTCAGTCTCGCTCAGGAGCCGACCCGAAGCAGGATCCTCTTCAACAACCGTCCGCTCCCACGGTGACACGGGGGCCAGCAAGGCACCCGCCCCGCCCGCCTCCGTGTGCCTGCACGGACCGGCCCCACCCGGCCCCTCCCCCAGGCCCAGGGCACCGGCCTCTCCGCCCACTACTTGACCCCCAGATCTTTTTTTTTAAGGAAACACACATATTTAAAGATTCTTTGGCACCACCACATGGAAAAACCATGAATTACTATTTTAAAAACCCTAACTTTGCTGTCTGCCAACATCTCCAAATCACCCTGATGCGCCCTGGCGGGGGGCGGGGTTAGGCCAGGCCTGACGTCCCCCGCTGGGGTGCGGGGGGGGGGGGACAGCGCCCCGGACGCTGCCCTGAGCGCCCCTGCACGCGGGGGGGGGGGCTGCTGCCCGGGGCCCCACTTCGGGGCAAGCGGGTGGGGCCGGGAGGAAGCGCAGCTCCGCCCGCATCCCGGGCACGCACCCCCACGTCCTGCTCACGTAGCGGAGCCCCGCGCATGTGCGGAAGACGTGCAGGCCCGAGCGGGGGAGCCTCATCCGCCATCGGGCTCCTCCCCGCGCCGCCGGGCAGCCTCCGCGGGAGCTCCTCTGCGAGGCCTGCCCGTGCCCCTCGGTGGTGCCGCCGTCAGGGCAAACCAGACGCCACAGACAGAAGGGAGAACAGCGTCCCTGGGGGGTGGGGGGGTCCCCCGCTGCAGACAGGCCCCGCCCCGCCGGCAGGCTCACCAGTCTCTTCTCCGAGAGCGGCTTCTTCCCGGGGGGCGCCTTGGCCGGGTCCGCGCAGCTGAGCGACAGCCGCCGGGGGGAGCTGGGCCCCGGGAGGGGCGGGCGGAGGGCGGCCCCGGGGGGCCGAGTCCAGCGCCCCAGGCCCTCCAGCGCGCCCCGCCATCCTGCAGAGAGCAGCCTCGAGGGCGTCATGGTCCTGATGAGAACAGTCAGACGGGCGGAGTAAGGGGCCTGACCACCTACCGAGCGCGCCAGGACCTCCGCGTGCGTCTCTGAGACAGAGAAGTGAGCGGAGGCCGTGACGCCGGCCCGTCGCTCGGCACACGGGAGCCTGAGTCGTAGGGGCCGCGGGCCTGAGGGACAGGACGTGTGTGTGAGCGCGTGGGGGTCCCCAGGGCCCTCCCGCGCCCCGAGACTCTCCCTGAGGGCGTCCGACACCCGCCGAGCGAGAACCTCGCAGAGGGAGCGTGAGCCTCGGCCCAAAACCCCTGGAAAGTGTCCGTCTTCTCAGACGAGCTGCTGTCACCTCGTGCCCGGAGGGCACGTCAGCCCGGAGACGAATCGCCCCCCGGGACCACCCAGGAGGCGCAGGAGGAAGTCCGAGGAGGAGCCAGAGGAGCCTGCAGCCGCGCAGTCCCGGCAGTAGAAGGCGCTAGAGCTCACGGCATGCGGACAACCCTCACTTCGCCGTGTCCAGGTGCGCCCAGCAGACGCACCCAGGACCATGCGGGACGACCCGAGACACGAGTCACCGGCGGTCAGACCCCACACCGGCCGCCACACACGTCGGGCAGATGTCACACCCACTCGTGAGCAGAGAATCTAACTGGGGGTGGAGGGGGCACGGTCACCCTGAGAGGCCCACAGCCCATGCCACACTGACTGCCCAGCGTCCACTGCTGCTTCTGCGCCCACTGTCTTGAAGCTTTTTTTAGAAAAGGAGGAACAAGCTGCGGAAGGTCTGTTTCCATGGAAATCTGCGAAACTTGACCAGGACACGTGAACCGAACAAGGTCGCGGGTCACCAGGGCAGCACACACAACAACTGTGGTCTCCCAAACGGGCGGAACACAATCGCACTGGCGGGCGGTAACACCAGTCACGAAGAAGTCCCTGCAGACGAGTCCGGTGACCGACATTCGGAACCTCTGCCTCGCTGCCGGCAGGGCCCGGGCCCGGCTGTCTCCCGGGGGGTGAGGTCGTCGAGTCCTCCACGCGGCTCAGTGAAGAAAGTGAAGGAGCCGAGGCAAGAGAGCGCCAGGGACCTGCCCCTGGACTGTGGGACGGGACGGGCAGGGGCGGGGCACGAGAACAGGCCCTTGGAGGGAAGAGAAACCAGCCCACCAACTAGCCACACCGCCGCTCAGCCCGCTGGGAAGCCGCAGCGTCGGGCACCAGGCCCCGGCCCTGAGGACACGGGACCTGGAGGAGGAGGGCACAGCAGGTGGGAACCTGGTCCACGGCAAGGCCAGCCAGAGGCCCCCTCCACCCTCTCCGTGTCCTGACACACCTCCATCTGCGCCTGTGCAGCGCGGCGCCCCCTTGCCAGCTGAACACACTCAGCTGGGCCTCACGCTGCGGCGTGGTCGTCGTGGTCCCTCTCCTGCTGCACCTGTGCCGCCCAGTTAGGTGCCCACCAGCCCCCCGTGGCCACTCAGTTGAAGTCAGGGGTGCTGGGCTCATTTTCACCGGGGCCACATCAGCCTCGAGGTTGCCTTCACGGGGCTGCATGTAATGTCAACTCCTTAGCAGTGAAGGAGAAGTCACATGTACACAGCCCTAAAATTACTTCGGCCCTGGGAAGGCAACGGTGAGGCTGATGTGGCCCCTGGTGACGACTTGAGACCCGTGGCTTAAGTCAACTAAAAACTTAAAAATGCAAACCCTCACTCCCTCATTCCAAGTGCTCACAGGCGCGTGTGGCCGACGGGCGCCCACCCCGGCAGCCCCGACGGGAAGGTGTCCGCCGCCACAGGAAGCCCCGCGGGGCCGCGCCGGTCCACACCGCCTGCCCGCACTGCCGCACAGTGCGGACCCAGAGCGGTGAACTCGAACTCCTCTGCGGCTGGCCGCTTCCCGGCTGGGGGAGCTGAGCCCGTGCGGAAGCCCGGGCCGAGTCGGCCGCCCCTCGACGGCAGGATGGGGCTTCGGAAAGGCTGCCGGCAGCGACTCCACATGGGCGAGGGCTGCACGCCAGGGTCACTGCTGTGTGCCCTGAAGCTGGACGCTCAGCTCCGCTGGACCGCGGCAACCCACGCCCCCGCGCCAGGGGCCCCTGCTGAACCTTGTGCGGAAACTCGCAGGCTCACTCCTCAGGGCAACGGCAGGAGGGGCGGCAGTGCACACGGGGCACCTCGTCTGCTTCTTCTTGACCCACTTTTGCTGCTGCCCCGAGGGCCTGCCCTGAGGGACTCCCCTCGGCTCCCCTGCCTGCGGGCGGAGACCGGAGGGAGGAGCAGGGGGCCAGGAGGGGACTTCTCTGCCCCTGCCCCGCCGCGCCCAGACTGAAGGGGGGCCCTGTCTGCGCTGCGGTCTTCTGTGACTGCCCCTCCCCTCAGGCCCCAGCACCTAGGGGTGCACACAACCGCACCGTCACCGCTGCAGGCTGAAACACCACCTCCGTTTCCCCACACTCTCCCTCTCGAAACCCTCCTTGAGTTGTTCTGTGCGGCGGGGTCGTGACTGCTGACCTAGACACGTTTTCATACCCATTTTAAAGCCGGGGAGGCGGAGACTCGGGTGAAGCAGCTGGCACAACGCCCTCTGGCCTCGCCGGCAGGGTGCTGGGCTGAATCTCACGGCAGGGATCTTCAAAGTGTGCTGGTGCACGCACAGCCACCTCGGGAGGGCAAGTTCAGAAAGATCAGACGGCTCTGGCTGGAACCTGGGAGGGAAAGAATCGCGTTGGGCTTCCCCTTCCTCCTTCCCAAAGCACCGGCGGATCCCCACCCGGCTGGCCAGTGTGAACGCGAGACCTCTGTCCGCTGCTATGTAGACCTACGGAGTGAGACTGCGGGCGCCGCGTGGCCAGTGAGCTCCCCGGAGAACCGCCCACCCATGGAGAGCTGCATTGGCAATAAAACTTTATTTTTGTTTAATGAAATGTTTATCGAAACTCGGTGTGTGCTTGCTGACGTTGCTATGTGCCACTGATTATAACGAAACACGCAGCCCTGGCCGGTGCGGCTCATTGGACTGAGCCCCCGACCTGCGAGGGGTCAACGGTTCGATTCCCGGTCAGGGCACGTGCCTGGGGAGCAGGCCGTCCTGCTCGGGGGCGAGATAGAGGCGACCCGTCGTTGCATCGCTCACACACTGATGTTTTTCTCCCTCTAGTTCTCCCTTTCCCTCTCTCTAAAAAATAAATACAATCTTAAAAAAACACCCGGAAGAAAGGTTGAGGACCGTGGGCCAAAGGAAACGCGCGCACTCGTTCACTTCGGGTGCGCGCGCCAGGGGCGGAAGGAGCTGCGACCCGGCGCCTGGAACCCACGGACCGGTCGCCGGCGCGCTCCGCCGGAAGCCCGGGTCGGCTCACGCCCGCGGCGACCGTCCCTCTACACGCAGGACGGAGATGGCGAGTCATCCGGTCGGCCCCTCCTTTGGGTTCTTCCGTCCTCCCGGCGCGACCCCTCACTCCTACTCGAGCCCCCAAAGGCCACGACCCCTCGCTCGCACTCACCCACGCGGAAGGTCACATCACTTCCGGGGTTTCGGCTGTCACCTCCGCGGTTACTTCCGGGTCTGGCCGGGGTTGCGCCTGCGCAGGGCGTCCCCGGCGCGCCGAGTCTGCGCCGAGCTGGGTCTCGGGATGCAAAGCTTGGGGACCGTGCGGGCGCGAGGCCGGGGGCCGAATCGAGACGGCGGGAGACCGGGCCTGGCCGTCCAGCGCCGCTCCCTCCAGCCCCAGTCCGCCTTCTCAGCGCTCTCCGCCTGGGCCAGCGGACCACTAGCCGCGTCCGCGTCCTGGATCAGGTGTGGTCTCGGGTTACCTCCCCGGCCCCTCCCCGTCGCGTTACGCCGTGCACGCAGCGCCCGGGGGCAGCTCCCTGCCACCGCGGGCTGTCATGTGCACCGGACAGCCTGCCCTCAGGCCGCCGGTGGCCCGCTGGACACTGCCCAGGTAGCAGGTTCCCCTGGAAGGCGACTGTCCGTGGAGACAGTCCCCTGGGTCCAGGTGCAAAGGGCGCACCTACCCTTTTGACCTCGCGAAAACTCACTTTTTAGGATGACTTTTGAAGAACCAGTTTATTAATTACACCGAAAGCATAAACAATTTATACGCCAAATTCTGGCTGGGGGGGGAATGAAATAAAGATGATCTTCAAAAAAAAATGTGCTGTGCTCACAAATAAAACGAATCCCGACCTGTTCAATAAATAGAGATGAAGTAATGGCTGAGCAACTGAAAACGAAAACCGAAACGGCCTTCCACTCTGCACGATTCTGAGCGGACGCCCAACACCAGCAGCTGCATCAGTGAAAACCGGTGCAACCCGAGGCCGGCGCAGGCTCCAGCTCGAGGAGCGGTCGGGCTTTGCCGAAAGTCTGGGGCCGGCCCGTGGGTGCCAAGCTTCCGCGTACCGATATGAAGCTGTCAGCACGTCTGAAAACGGATCACTTTTAAAATCTGTGACCTGCTGGGTGTCGAGGACAACGGGGTCGAGGACAGCGTCAATTCCCGAGTCTTCCTCTGCATCTCCACGGGCCTTCTGCGGAAGTAGTCATGACGACGAGGCACCACCCCCCACCCTGCGCGGACAGTTCCTCTCAGCGTAAGCTTTTGCAAACATTCGGGTCACGCAGGAGAAAATAATACAGCTAATGACACTGCTGCTGCCGTCACTTTCCCCACAAAAATATTACTTAAAAAATGGACTACACGTTAAATAAATATTCTGTTATTAATCCTTAAATATATTAACACCAAAAATCATGTATAAATTAAGGAAATAAATGTACAAACTATCTCACAAAGTGCTTTTTAAAATATATACACAACATTCAAGAAATTCTTAATGTAAGACATTTCAGATTGAAGTTTCGGGGTAACTTTTCAGTGCCCTTTTAAAAAAAGTATTCAGACAGCACTTAAACAAACAAACAAACAAACAAAACACACACGCACACAGACAAGGCCTATGCCCAGGATGGCAAGGAATAAAAACAGACTAGTTTCACAGTTTTCTAAAATGTTGAACCTTTTCAGTGGGAAATTTTAGTTTTTGATTGAGTTTGCAACTTAGTTCTACGAAACCTGCCAGGAAAGAAACAGAACAAGGCGGCCACTGCCCACACCTGTGGTTCAGCAGTCCAGGGCTCCCGCCCGGCGATCTCACCGAGACGGTGGACTTCTGAGCCCTCACCAGTGTGCGGGGTTTTCACACCCCTATGCCCACAAGTAAACGCTTCTATCCCAGGAGACCCAGTGTATATGGAATTAGCTCTTTTTGTGTGTATTTTCTTGGTTGTTCTTGGAAATACGTCAGCACTATCCAAGGATGTTTGTAAAAGATTACAGGAAAAGTGGGCATTATCATCCAAGTAAAAATTGATAAAATGTCAGTATTACTTAGGGAAATGTAGGGTTTTTCCTGACCAGACTTTTTTCCCCCAGTGAGCCGTCTTCCATGGTTGCACAGAATTTAAATGAGATTTAACATCCTGGGAATGTAAAACTTATTCAAAGTTCTCTCTTATATAAAACCTTTCCTTTTCACTAGGAAGAACACAGTAAACTCAGTGAGGCTCTTTTTAAAAAAGAGATGTGGCCCTGGCTGGGGTGGCTCAGTGGACTGAGTGCCGCCGGCCTGCAAACCCAAGGGTCGCCGGTACGATTCCCAGTCAGGGCACATGCCTGGGTTGCAGGCCAGGTCCCCAGTAGGGGGCGCGCGAGAGACAACCACACGATGTTTCTCTCTTTCTCCTTCCCTTCCTCTCTCTAAAAAATAAATAAATAAAACTTTTTAAAAAAATAAGAGATGCAAATTCAGATATCCCTCAAAAAGCAAAACAAACGAACAAAAAAACCCCCACCTGCTTAGAGATCTAAACAAGCAGGTTCTGGAAGAAATAAAAGGAACAACTCCACTGTGCGGAAAATCCGGCGTCACTATTTTAAGCTGCAAGTTTAGAAAGGGGCATATCACATATTCAAACCCCCAAAATGACCATCAGACCAACAAGGGCCGCAGTGAGGGCGACGCCAGGCAGCTCCCCTTGCTGCCGGTGTCGCCCCACAGCCCCCTGGTCAGGCTTGATCTCGGCCTGCCCGGACGCATGTTGGCAGCACATCCTTGATCCCTTGTTACCTTGGCAGCGCGCACAGGTGACCCTCCGGGAAACTGAATGGGCTGGAGACACAGGCGACGGGCGGGTGCCAGAAACCTCGGGGCGGTGCGCAGGCGCGGCCTCCCCGGGGAAGCAGAGGTGGCCTTCGACAGAAGCAGACCCGCCCCAGAAGGGGCCCCCGCCCCACCGAGGCCCAGGGGGAGGCGTGCCCGGGGCTGCGCCAGCAGGTCGAGGGACGCGCCTGCAACCCACGTCACAGCTGCGCGGGGAGATCTGGACCCAAGGTCTGTCTACGTGGAAACACTGACAATGGCATCTTGTAGGTAGGTGTCTGTCCCATCGCTGGGCGCAGAACACTCCGATGACGAGAGGACCCCTAAAGCTAGCTAGACACATGGGGGGGACAAAAAGGGACAGCCCCCCGCCACTGGAGGGACACAGGACACTATACACGGCACCAGGCACGTCACACCGCCGGGGCTCGGTCCTGCGCCTCGGCGCACGCTCCGCGTCATGCCCGGCACGAAACGTGCACGCTTCACATGCGGCACGCGCAGGGCCAAGGGGCGACCGACAAGCCACAGGTCATCAGAGCTGCCTCGGGCCCAGCCGTGCCGGGCGGACACGCCGGCGCAAGGCTCCACCAAGGACGTCTGTCCCTCACTGCTGGTAGTTTCCATACTGGCCCTGGAAGAGACCGGGACAGGAGTTCTATGCCCCAGTCAAGAGCTTAAGGAGCCCGCCCTCACCCTGCCCCCGCCCCGCCCCCGCCCATGCGGGGGACGAGACAGGAAGGAGGCCTCCTGCCCACGTCGGCAAACTGGGCTGCCTGTGTGCTGTCCCCGCATGCCTCCAGCGTGCAGCCGAGGGCGCCACGGCCGAGGAGAATGCTGGGGTCTACATGGGCCCAGGACACAAACGGCCAGCGGTCTGGCCAGAGCGCGCTCCACTCGGAGGAAATCACCAACACCCTCACAGGGTCGGAGAGCCACGCTCCGCACGGGACCTCTGCGGAAGCCCAGAGGGGCCCAGGCTCCGTGCCGACAGGCACGCGGACCTGCAGCGGGGAAACCTCCGGCACGCTTGCCTGCTCGTAGCCGTACGGCCGCTGCTGCTGCGCGGACGGGCCGGTCTGCGACGCCCTGTAGCTCCCGTACTGCTGGCCTTGGCCTTGCTGGTAGCTGGAGTACTGCGAGGGGGCCCCCTGGGCCGGGCCTGGGGACAGAGCCGCCGCCGTGAGGCCTCCGGGCAGAGTCGGCATGGCGAGAGCACGCACACCCACCGGGGCCGGCCGCTGCCCCGCTGCCCTGCACCCCCGCCGGGTGTCCTGAGCGCTTCCCGTCGCTCCCAGTGGTCACGGACACCGCGTGAGGTCGCAGCGACCAGGGAACACACGTGTGCAAGACAGACGGCCATCCTGCCTGCGGGGGCTGAGCTGGAGGCTCTGGGGAGGACCCGGGGAGGCCGGGGACGTTTGCAGAAGACACGACTCAGCCAGTCACGGCTGCAACAGGCTGCCGGAGCCCTGACCCGTCTTCCCGCCTCACTGAGGCTGCACCTGAGGGCCTAGCCAGAATGCTCTCGGGCGGGGCCGCCAGGACACCAGAGCAGCGTCCCGGGAGGAGACTCGGCGGCAGGGAAGGCGGAGACCCAGAGGCCTCGGCAGGCCCCCTCGGAGGCGCTGGCAGACCAGAGGCCGCGGCGTGCGGTGTGCAGAGGGGACGGCTGGCTCTGGCTGGGTGGGCGCGGCGGGGTCCAGTTTAAGGCAAACTAAGGTGCTGCAGGTGTGGACGGAGGGGTTTTAGGGACACTCCCTGACCTCACTTTTCACGAACTCATCACCTACTCCTCAGGGTCACGCCTGTCGGATGAGGGCAACGACAGGACCCTACGGCCCTCGCAGCTGTCCCGCACACGTGACACTGTCCCCGAGTAAGCGTGTCCTGGGCGTGTGCCTGAGGACGGCGCTGCGTGCCGTCTGCGTGGGCGGCACCCCTCTTACCGTAGCCTGGCTGCTGGCCCGGGTAGCTCTGCTGGTTGGGGTACTGCTGCTGGTAGCCCGCCTGCTGCTGGGCCGCCCCCTGCTGGTAGCCCGCCTGCTGCTGGCTGTACTGCGAGTTCCCTGGTGGGGGGCGGGGCGGGGAGATGCTGGCGTCAGCCACCGCACCACAAACCAGGCCCGAGGAGCAGACGAGGGATCGACTGGCTGGCTGGCGTCTTCCATAAAACCACCCCTCCAAGAGCCAGGGTGCAGCTCAGGGGCCCCGCGCGGGCTGTCTCCGGGAGGAGCTGTCCTCGCTGCTCCCAGCGCCCACCCACAGGCACCTGCGCCCGGCTCTGCAGCTGCCGGACTCGGGGGCGGGGTCTGGGCCCTTTGGTTTGAGGGACGGCAACGTGGCCAGCACTTGCAGCTTCAGCATCAGCTCTAACTTCCGGGGGTTCGGAAATGCAAAAACAGCACCGGGCTCCCCGCAGGGCCAGCGCCCTGCCTGACCTCCCACTTCCGGAGGTCAACGCGGCCTCCCGAAGCTCTGCCCCACCCCGAGCCCGCCCCGTCCCGCCCGGGCGCTCCGTACCGCCCTCGTAGTAGTGCTGCGTGGACTCCTCGAAGGACCGGTCGTAGCTCTGCTCCGAGTAGGACGCCTGCTGGTAGGCGTAGTCCCCGTGCCCTGCAAGCAGGCGGCGGCCAGCGGTCAGGGGCCCGACCGCCTGACTGTCAGGGGACGGCCGTGGGCCGGACGGCAGCTCTGTGGGGTCGGGCAGTGGCCAGCGCTGGGCACGCGGCGGCCCCCACAGGCCGCGCCCACGGTCGGTCCACTTCAGGGAGACGCAGACAGCCGTTCTGCCCTCGGGCTTCCGTGGGCATGGACTGTGCTCGGTGCCCGACGACGGGACACGGCCGGCGGCGGCTGCTGGCTGTCGGCGTTACTGCACGGTTCCCACGTGCTGTCCGCTCGGGGGGTGGTGGCCCCTAGAGGCCCTGCGCTGGTCTCAGCCCACCCCAGTCACGCTGGGTCCCCGTCTGGGAGACCCCCCCCCCCCCCCCCAGCCATCCCCTCTGACCCCCGTAAAAGCCTCCTCCGAGAACCCTGGGGCGACCCAAGGTGACTGCAAGGTGACGGCGAAGGGGGACATTTGGCAGGAGTCACACCAGGCAGCTGGTGACACGTGTGACGAGCCCCGAGCGGCCAGACCCCATCTGCCACTGTCCTGAGGGCATTCCGCCTGACCGCTGTGTCCATCCCTTCAAGTGTCCACAGCCACCTGTTCAGAGGGCTGCGGCCGGCCCCCACCCGGGGCTCGGCTGCCTCTCGGGGAGAGAGAGGAGCAGCCCCAGGGGGCGAGTGGCTGCGGCCAGCGCCAGCAGCGCCTCCGGGCGGGGACCAGACTCCGGCCCAGGCCCACTCAGGCCGGGGGACTCTGGACGCCGCTGCGCGGGCAGTGTGCGGGCGGGCGGACGGCCCGGAGCCTCACCGTCGGCGTAGTACTGCTGGCCGAGCGGCTCCGAGGCGGCCTGGCCGTGGCCGTACTGCTCGCCCCCGTAGTACTCCTCCTGGCCCAGGTACTGCTGCGAGGAGCCTGCGGGCGGGCGGGCGGGCGGCGGCATGAGCTCAGGGGGCCCCCGCCCCCGACACCTCCCCAACGGGCCCACCATGCCACCCCGGGGACACCAGGCAGGGCACTGTCCCCACACCCAGCCCTCTGCACCCTGAACTATCTGTCCACTGAGACACAGCGGCCCACCCCCTCCGCGGCCGCGCCCCTGCCCGAGACCCCCCCACGGCAGGCCCCAGCCCCGCCCGCCCCTGGGGAGGTGCGGGCCCCACGCAGCCCCAGCCCCGCAGCCCCAGCCCCGGTGTCCTCCTCGCAGGTGACGACGGACGCGCCCAGTGCCGCCCCCCCGCCCCGCGGTACCTTGCTGGGAGGGCCGGTAGGGCGCCAGGGGCCGCTGCCCCATCATGCCGCTGCCCTGCCCGCTCTGGCCCATCATGGCGATGGACGGCTGGCCCTGGTAGTGCTGGCTCCCGCCCTGCGCCGAGGGGTAGTGGGACGAGGCGGCCTGCTGGTGCATCAGGGACACTGGGCGACAGGACAGACCGCGTCACCCCGAGAGGCTCCCGGGGCACGTCCCTGCGACCCCGTCCAGGTCTCCGGCACACCCCCCTGCTAGGGGACCTCCGAGCCAACGCCCACCAGGCGCAGCATTCGGACAACGCCACCTCGACCCCCCGCCGCCTGGCCTGTCCACTCCCGTGCCCTCCCAGAACCCTCCGGCGTGGCGACGCCCAGCGCAGCGGTACGGGAGCCACGCCGGGGAGCGAGCGAGGAGGGGACGCCCGGCGCGGTGACGTGCTTCATCCGACTCGGCACGTGCAGAGCGTGGCCCCTTCCAGCGCCTCGCCGCCCCTTCTGAGCCGAGCCTCCGGGGCCCACCGCCCGTCACTCGCGGGCCGTCACCACTGGGGCCTGGTGCCTCCCCCCAGTGCTCAGCCCAGGCTGCTCAGCCAGCCCCGCCCCGCCCCACTGCTGTGCTCCGCCCTGCCGTCCCCCCACCCGCGTGACCCCGAGCCCGTCCTCCCAGCAGGCACCGGATGCCCTCCTCAGAGCCTTCCCTGAGCCGGCGTGCGGAGTGGCCTCAGCCCCCCCAAGCCGGGCCCCGCCTGAGCTGTGCCCCCAACCCCCAGCCCTGGGGAAGGTCCCGGAGGGCAGCCCTGTGCCCCTCGCAGCCTTGGCCTGGCGTCCGGCAGGAGGGCAGCCCGCACGTGGCCTGCACGCTTCGGGGGCCCCGGGGACATGCAGGTGCAAGTGGGGGCCCGGGGCCGGTGGGGCGTCACCTGGGTTGGACTGAATGTTGATGTTGGCCCGAGACACGTAGCTGCCCATGGCGCCCTGGCCCTGCAGGGGCACGCTCTGCGAGCCGGGTCCCGAGTGGCTGTAGCCGGGCCCCGACCCGTGGCCGCTGCCCGACATGCTCATGGAGGTCGTGGGCAGCGTGCTCTGTGCCGTCTGCTGCATGGACACGTGGTTCGGACCTGCCAGGGCGGGGGCGGGGGGGGGGGTGGCGCAAAGAGGTATCAGGGCACCCGTGCCCAGCCCTGCAGGGCCGCGTGGGAGCCCATGCCGGTGGCGCCCACCCCGCCCACGAGCCCGAGCCACACCCCAGGGGGCTCACCGTTGCCGATCTGGCCCTGCATGAGGGAGGCCGGGGGCAGGCCGGTGCCGATGGCGTCGCTGAGGCTGCCCTGCGGGTGCAGGCCCTGGCTGGAGCCGCTCTGGGACAGCGCGCCCGGGCCCAGGTTCATGTTCTGGGTGGGCGGCTGCGGCAACGGGGGTGAGCGGGACAGCGGTTAGCTGGGGAACCTCCGCCAACCAGCAGCCACTCCCCAGACCCATCCACCCGACCTCCCTGGAGACGGGGGACCCGCCCCATGCCACGCCCCATCAGGGACCTTGGCCAGGCCAGGCCGGACCCCCAGCCTGGGGCAGGGCCCCGGCCCCCGCCCCCAGCCCGGCACTCACGGCGGGGAGCAGGGACTGCATGTTCTGGTTGGAGTCGGCGATGGTGGCCAGGTACACGAGGTTCCGGTGCAGGATCTGCTGGTACCTGCGGGAGATGGGGGCGTGTGGTGGGCCGGGGAGCTGCCCGCCAGTCCTCTGGGTGAAAGCCAAGTTCACCCAGGACAGCCTTGCCCTGCAGCCAGCGCCAGGACGCCGGCCGCAGAGGACCCCGGGGCCAGGCCAGGCGGCGGAGCGCTCCTCGGTCCAGGATGGGCCCGTGGGGGGTGCGCTCCGGTCCAGCGACAAAATGCTGCAAAGACTCCGAGACGGTGGCCGAAGGGCAGGTGTCACCCGGTCCCTTCAGACAGGGGTGCAGACGAGCCCTCCTCCAGGCGACCCCAGCTAACCCGGCCCCACCCCCACCCGGGAGGTGCCGGGAGGAGACGAAGTGGCTCAGTTCGCCCCGAGGACAGCCCAGGTGGCTGTGATGGCCACTCACCCGGCCACCGTCTGGGGGCTCTGATGCCCAGTTCCTGCACCTGCTGTGTCCAGCCCTGGAGGACGGAGCTCGCTGTCCCCAGTGTGTCCAACCACCACCCACAGAGCTGCCCGCAGCGTCCAGCCTGGGCACCCCCAGCCGCCCTCCGAGGGGTGTTGCTCGGCGGCTTAGGAGACCGCAGCCCAGTGCCCCCAGTGCTGGGCAAAAGCAGAGTCCGCCCGGCAGCGGCCGGGCGGGGGCAGCACTCACTGGGCACACTCGGCCGTCTTGCCCTTGCTCTGGTGGTCCAGGATGCACTGTATCAGGTGGTGGTTCTCGTCCAGCATCTGCGGGGAAAGCAGACGTGAGTGCGGGGCGAGGGGCGCATCCACGGGGCCCTGCGGGGCGAGGCGCGCGTGCTCCGTCAGCCGCTCGGGCGGCGTGACAGCCCTGCCCTCGGTGTGCGGGCATCTGTGTCCATGCTGTCACTCCACGCGGAGCCTCGGCCGGCAGGACAGGGCCCTCTCCACGCCTCATCCCCCAGGGGCGGGGCCCAGGTCCCCTCACCTGCGGATGGGACCCCACCGCCCCAGGCCCCCTCATCTAGGGCCCCCGACACGGTGCATCCGCCCCCCGAGGGTGGGCGAGGAACCCGCAGCGTGGACGCGGGACCCTGAGGCCCCGTCCAGAGGGTGCGAGGTCTGAGAACCCATGTGCGTGGGCATCAGCTCGTGTCCACCCCCCCTGCCCCCGGGCATCACAAAGACAAACCAGAGCCAGCTCTTCTGGGCCGACACCTGGGGGAGGGGAAGGGGCGTGGGGGAGGGGAGGGGCTGCACCCAGGACGGCCAGCGGGGGGCAGGGGTGGTGGGCCAGGGAGGTGATGGGGCGGCACACCGTGTATCCACAGCCTGTCCCTGCGGCCGCCCATCCCTGCTGGGGGCAGCAGCAGAACTGAGCCCCCCCCCCCGCCCCCACGCAAACGTCCAAAGGCCTCAGCCTGGGAACGGCCCCCCAAGGGGAAGCCTGTGCTGTTTGTCTCCACCAGGCGGCGCCCCGTCACCGGGCCCCGCGGGCAGGCTCAGCTCCAGAGGGGCCATCCACCTGCCACCACCCTGGCCCCCGGCACGCTGCCCCAGGGCCACCCCTCCCTGCTGCCAGTCGGGCAACACGGCCGCCTGACTGGGCTCTGACGGTGGCCTCTGCTCCCACGGAGACCTGGGCCCACACCTGCCCACCAAGGAGAGACGGGCGGGGGTGGGGGCACATGGAGGGCCTGGCCAGCGGCCCCTGCGCCCTGGCCTCCAAGTCCTGCCGCTCCCCTTGCTCTGGTTTGTATTTCCATCGCCACTTCCTCCTGCCCGTGCCGGCCCCCTCCGTCCCCACCTCAGAAACGGTGCCCGAAGTCCAGCGATCCCCGCCTGGGCCCAGGAAAAGGGGTGCCACCAGGGGGCGCTGTGAGCCCGGAGCTGCCTGCCTCGCTCACCTGGGGACAGGTGAAGGGCGCTCAAACACTCCGGGAAAGGGCACTGCAGGCGTCTGCGCCTTGTGACTCTTTTCTCCAGATGGGTGGGCGGAGGAGAACCACTGTGACAAGAGCTCCCGCTCCGGGAAAGCTGCCCCTAAAGGCGTCACGGCGCCGGAGTCCCTCCAAGGATGCACAGCGTGGCAACCCCGCTCTGCACAGGGTGTTCCCCGGGGGGAGGGGCGGGGGGCAGAGGAGCAGCGCCCCGGGGGTGGGGGGGGGCATTGGGTGGCACCAGATCAGGATGTGAACCAGCTTTGTAAGCCTTCCGAGGTCTTTATCAACGTGGGAAACTGTTACAAAACTTATCAGTGTGAGGAACTGTTACAAAGTTTATCAGCATGAGAAAATGTTACAAAATCTGTCAGCATGAGAATGTGTTACAAAATGTTGTGACCAAAAAAAAAAAAAAAAAAAGAAGGAAGAAAAGAAAAAGAAAGAAGGAAAGGAGTAGGACGCAGAGGACCCGCCCAGCTCAGGTCAGGAACAACGGCCAGGACTGGGGGTCAAGGAGCGGAGTGGACCCCCCCCCCCCGCAGTGAGGAAGGGATGAAAAAGACAAACGCCCCCAGGGGCGGAGGGACCAGGGCTGAGCCGGCCGCGCCAGCAGCAGGGCGCTAGCAGCACTCGGACAAGGGCCAGCAGGACTGGCAGACCCCAGGGTGCTGGGCGCCACCCTGAGCCACACCGGGGAGCCGCCGGCTGGAGGCGGCTGACACCCGTGGGTCCTCCCCACCGCTCGCCTGGCAGGAAACGGGACCGTGGGCTGGGGAGCGGGGAAGGTGTCTCCCAGGGAGGAGGAGAGTCTGGGGGGAAAGACAGGAGGACACGGAGGGCCAGGGAGCAGGGGTGGGGGCGGTGGGAGGAGCCAGCACCGGAAACCCAGAACCGAGAACTCAGAGCCCGGAGCCCGGAGTCCAGAACCTGCGGCTTCGGGGTCGCGGACTTGGAGCCTCCCCATCTGCGGGAAAGGACCGTGTGCCCGTTAGGCGCCCTCCAGCAGAGCGGGCCGACGAGGACAGCACATGGTCCCCGGGGCGAGAAACACGGAAGCAGCAGCCGCTCGGTCACGGCTTAGCGACGAGGGGGCAGGAGGGCGCTGCTGGGGGCGGGAGGAGGGCTCGCCCGACCCTCACGGTTGGCGGGCTGCGTGCTTTCGGTGAAACGAGAGAAGTGCCAGGAGGGGAACCGGGCTGTCTCCAGGCCACCGGCAGCCCCATGCTCCCCAGGGCTGCCCCACGAGCTGGGGCGAGGAGACAGCGCCCCCTCTCGCCCCTGGAGAGCAAGTGCTTTCGGCGACAACTGTCGGAAGCGACCTGTTAGCCAAGTGGAGGGAGGCCCCGGCCCCGAACTGCTGTGCTCAAACGGGAGGCGGGGCAGCTGGAGTTTTCGCAAATGGCCGATGCTGCTTCCTTGCCAAGTCAGCCCTCGCTCCTGAGCAAGGCCTTCCAGCTCTGAGAGCCCAGGGCGCCCCCGCCCCCCAGCCCAGACGCCCTCCTCTGCCCCTGCGCCCCGCACCCCGGCCCCGGGCATGGACAGTGGGGCAGGGCTGGCCGGGCTCCTGCCGCTCCCGGACGCTGGCCCCGGCGCCTGCCCTCACTGGTGCCACTGTCCTGTTCCAGACCCAGGGGGCACACGCCCCGGATGCCCACCGGCCTGTCCACTCCGTCCTGTTCCCGTGGAGCGTGTCTCTCCCCACAGGAGGTGCTGGGGGTGGAAGGGCGAGACACCCTCCCCACCCTCCCGCAGAGAAAACCAATCGAGAGCCCCAAAGCACATGGGAACCATGAGGTTCACACTAAGCACCTGCCTGTGCTAAGCGGCAAGGAGGCGCCTACGTGCCAGCCCCGGAGGCCCCTCCAAGGAGCCCAGGCCTGGCCTCTCGGTGCGTGGGGACGGCCGCGACCCCACCTCAGCAGCGCTGGGGGCACAGCCCCGGACAGCAGGGGCTCCCTGGCCCCAAACGACAGAGAGCTGCAGGGGCGGGTGCTGGCCCGCAGGCCAGCCGGCCAGGCCCGAGGGCCACAGGACTTTGCCGGGACACTGCCATCTCCACCCCAGGGGCCCCTGTGGCTGTCACCAAAGCACAGTCGCACCTGCACCTCACCCTGCACTACAACTGTGCTTGGTCACTGCCAGCTGAACCACCTCAGCCCCCGGACCCGGGCTCCCCAGATCAGCCAGCACCCCCGGCCCTCCACGTTGGGACTCACGCCTGCCCCTTGCCGACCACGGGCAGGACCACGCACGACTCCCTGGATCTTCCAGGCCCTTCCTCCCCGGCTCCGCGGCGCTCCCGGTCTGGCCCGCCCCTCCCCCACACGGTCTCTGTTCCGGGCTGAACTGCGTCCCTCAGAATCCGCGCAAGCCGGACAAGCCCCAGTGCCTGCGCCAGGGGCCTCACTTGGAGGCCGGGTCTTTGCAGACGCGGTGACGTTGACGTGAGGCCAGGCCGGGGTCAGGCGGGCCCTAGTCCCCGTGACTGGTGTCCCCAGGAGAAGAAGGGGACGTAGGCCCAGAGGCGCGGATGGGGGCGACGCGTCTGCAAGCCGAGGAGCGCCGGCCGGGCCAGGACCCCCCAGGACACCCCAGCCGCTCAGAGGAAAGGAGGGCCCAGGTCCTCCCTCAGAGCCCCCCGAAAGGGGCCAGCCCTGACGACAACCTGATGCTGGACTCGCAGCCCCCAGAACTGAGAACATCAGCTTCCTCCGTTTCGAGCCGCCCGGTCTGGGGTAGCTGTCAGGGCAGCGAAGGGAACGGACACGGCCGCCTCCCCCTCGCCGCCTCCCCCACACGCGCCCAGGACCACAGGCGCTCCAGGAGGCACGGGCGCTGGCGGGGCCGGGCCGGGCGCGGCAGAAGAGCCACCGACGGGCAGACTTGGGAGCCCACGCGACGTGTCCGAGTGCCGCACCCGGCACGTGACCGCCGAGGGAACGGGCGGGAGGGGCCGAGCGGGAGTTTGCCTGGCAGGGTCCCCCCCACCCCCGATGCCCAGCAGGGGAAGCAGTGTGCTTCCTGCCCCCTCCCTGCCCGGTGGCTCCCGAGCAACCCCGGCGTTCCTCGGTGCACACGCACACCCCGTGGACACAGCCCACGAGTGCGGGGGACGCGCACCTCGCACGCCCTTCTCCGTCCCCCGGTCAACGAGCCCTGGGTGTGCGAGCACACGGACCGCCAGCCCGCCCAGGTCAGACCAGACGGCTGCCTGAACTGCAGACCGGCTTTCCGCGGGGAGCGGGCCGCCTTCCTGCCCCGGGGCGCTCCGTGGGGCTCCCCGTTTCCGACCCGATTTTCAGGGGCGGTGCTTCCGCCCGGAAAACGTGGGGGGCTGTAACACGGGGAGGGTGCAAAGCGCAACCAACCAGGTCAGTGTGCAAGGCAAACGTGGCTTCCGGAAGAGCAGCTCTGCTCGTCACACTGAAGGACCAAAAGCCAGGCCCCGGGGAGAGGCGCCTGGCCTTCCGCCTCGCCAAGTGTCCCCACACTGGGGATCACGGGTGGGCAGGCCCTGCAGCCACCGTCGGGGTCCCACCCCTGGTCAGCAGCCACTTAGCTTCCCTCTGCCTCAGTTTCCGCATCTGCACAACGAGGACGGCTGCGACTACCACGAGGAATTACAGGAGTTTAATGACAAATGTGAACCCACAAGGCCCTTAGAACAGTGTCTGGTATGCAGTAAGCACCACATAAGTGCTCAATAAACAAATTTAAAAAACGCCCCACTTTTAAGTCTGTATCTCTACTGCTCCTCAACTGGAGTTCGCTGAGCAGAGTTTTCCGAGGCTTCTCACTGGTCACACCAGCCGCGGCAAAGGTCGTCTCCACTCGTGTGGACGGGGCCCTCGGGGTCCCGGCATCGTCAAGAGGAAGAGTCCTCCCTCCCGGGGAAATGGGAGGCCCGCGGGAACACGGAATTCTGCTGTTAACCCCACGAGCCCCGGGCTTAGCAACCGACAAAGCTACCAAAGACGTCGAGAAAACGCAATCGGAAAGACTAACACTGTTCCTTTTTCCTTCTGGACTTCTCTTCTAAAGAAAACTGCGGAAAATGTGAAATCCTCAACTTACACACTCCAGGGTTTCGCTGAAGGCGCCCCCCGCCCCCACTCCCTGTGACCGTGGTCCCCGGAAAACCCCGAGGCCGCGCGCAGGGACGCGGGGAAAGGCTGTAACGCGGGTCTGGAAAGTCTCTGCTAGGTGAGGAGCCTGGCCCGGGTGTCACGCTGGGAAACCATTTGACAGGCGCGGAAGGGCGGCGAGGCTGGGCCAGCAGGTAGACCCCGCGGCGTAGCGCGCTCCCCAAAGGGCGCCGGACACGCTGGAACAGCGTCGCACACTCGGGACGCGCCCCTTTGTGCCTCGGAGTGCGAACACCTTACGGAGAGGGAGCGTGGCCCGCTGCCCGGCCGGGCCCCCGTCGCCCCCAGCTCCCCGTCCACTCGCCAAGCTGTGCGCTGAGGCCAGGGGCCGCCCGCCGGGTTGCGCCAATGATCTGGCCAGCCAGGAGGGTCCCCCCTGAGCCTGGCGTGGTCCGGCTCCTTTCGGTTGGGCCAAGACCCCCACCCCGCAGTCACCACCCCCAAGGGCACCGTCTCGAGGGCGCCCGGTCACGCGTTTTGCGCCCCTGTCCGTGGCGCAGGGTTCCCGATCGCGGCGGGTCCCAACTGCGCCCAGCTTGGCCCGCGGACACGACCCCTCGGACACCATCCCGAGGGCGCGCAGCCTCGCCGTCCTGCGCTCTGGCCCACGATCCCCGCGCGCCCCGACCCCGAAGGCGGCAGATCCGCTGCGCGCAGCCTGGCCGCGGACACGACCCCTCGGACACCATCCCGAAGGCGCCCGGCGCCGGTGCCCCTGCCCGCAGCCCCCGCCGAACTTGGCGCAGGCTGGCGGCAATGCGCTCTCGGGGCCCCGCGGGGTCACGGTCGTCGGCTGCGCCCCGGCTTTGTTCGCGCCCCGCGCCCGCCGGCTGCCCGCGCCCCGGCCCCGCGCGCGCCCGCCCGCACCCCGTACCGCCCCCCGCCCCAGGGCCCCCGCCCACCTTCTGGATGGTTTGCTGCGTGACCTCCCCTTTGCCTCTCGGCCGGGCGGACGCGAAGGCCACAGACATGGTCCCGGCGCGGGCTCAGCCCGAGATCATCGGGGTTTCTTCTCCCGCTGCGCTCCGCCGCCTGAGGTGTTCATTCTCCGCAGTCGCTGGGGGGCGGGGGCGCGGGGGGTTCCGCCTTGGGCTCGTCCGCCCCGCCGCCGCCACCGCGCCGCCCTCCCGCCCGCCGCCGCGCCGCCACGCGCGCCGCCAGTTCCCGAGGCCCCGCCCTGCGCGTCGCCCCCCGGCGGCCGCTCTGCGCCCCCCGCGGGGCCCGCCGCCGCCGCGTTGTCCCCCGCGGCTGGCGGCGGATGGTTCGCCCCGGCCCCGCCCCGGCGCGCGCGCGTCCGCCCGACGCCGCAGACGCTGCCCGACGCCGCCTGACGCCCGCAGCGCAGTGGGCGGGGCCGGGGGGCGGGCGCCGCCGCGTCGGGAGTCGTGGGCCGTGCGGCGGTGAGTGTGCGCTTTTGCCCGGCCTGACCGCGCCGCTCGCCGGGATGAGTTACGACCGCGCCATCACCGTCTTCTCGCCCGACGGCCACCTCTTCCAAGTGGAGTACGCACAGGAGGCCGTGAAGAAGGGCTCGACCGCGGTGAGCGGCGAACCCCGGGCCGGGCGCGGGCGGCTGGATGCGGGCGGGCCTAGGGGCGCTGCTGGGGCGCGGGAGGCGAGGGAGGCCCGCGACGTGTTGGGCGCCCAGGAGCCTGTGAGGCCTGGCCGCCCTGTTGAGGCGCGGAGAGGCCCCGAATGGGGGGCAGCCGGAGCGCTCGTGGCCCCGGCGCGGCTCTAGACAGCAGGGGGGTCCGGAGGAACCGCGTCCCTCTCGGCCCCGGACCCCTGGAGCGCGGCGTCTGCATCGGCCGGGCGGGGCCGGGACGCGCTCCCCGCCCGGAGCTTCAGCCAGGTGCCGGTGCTGGCAGCCTCCTCTTCGTCGCCGGGTGCTTTTTATCCGATCGACCTTTCGGAATTAGCTCCGCGGCGTCAGATGGACGCAGAGGAGCCGTGGCGCTGGCGTTGACGAAGGAAGTGGAGAGGGGCGCGTTGCACACTGTGGGCGCCCGGGTCGGGGAACCGGCGGGGCTGGCCAGTCGGATGGACCTGTCCTCCCAACACTGGATTGTCGCCAAGGGCATTCGAGGTGGGGGTCTGCTGGTGACCGACGGGTGCTGTGCGGACCAGCGATTTGGGCGTGGGTGGTGAGCTTCCAAGGGCCACCTTCCTTTTCCCTCTCACTAGCGCGGAGCGGGTAGGCGCGCCTGGGTGGCGACGCCATCTTGGCGGCCGCCTGGGCCCGGGCAGCGGGAGCCCGGCCTGGTCGCGGTGTGGCTGCGCGGAGGCCCCGCAGCGAGCGGAGGCGCGCGCTCCGAAGATGTTAAGCAAGTGGGTGACTTGCGACTTAGTGAAGTGTGCCCGGCCCGGGCCCAGTTAGGGACTTTCCGCACGAGGGACAGCGGTTGTCCTGGAGGTGCAGGTGGGCTTCCGCAGCCAAGGGGGGCGGGGCGGGTCTTGCTCTGGGCTGTGCGGTTCCGCTGACAACGCCCCCCTCCCCCGCGAGGCGGGCAGTGCGCTGACCGACCCACTGTCCCCGCGGGCATCTGAGCAGGTACCTCTTGTTCTGACTGCCCTTTGAAGCGTGAGACACCTAGGGGTTTGCCTGTCCGTCAGTTTTTCTTGTATTACCCGGCGTGTCCGAGGTTTGAGTCCGCAGACAGAGCGCACACAACTCGGAGAATTTGGGTGTTCTCCTTCCCTGAGCGTCTTTGGAACTGAGTGTCCAGAACCCGTTTCCCGGCCTCACTCGGCTTCAAGAGTACTGGGGTGGAGGCCGCTGCCCCCCCCCCCCCATGCCACCTCAGGCCCGTGGGGTGGGTGGCTTTGCCGGACCTGCCCCCAACCCCGCGGGCTCCGGAGAACCACGAACACTGGGGGAGGGGAGACCGTAGGGGAGACAGCACCTGGAAGTCGGACTCAGCACACCGGAGCTCCCACCCCCACGGTGTGTGCCCAGGGGGCGTTTGTGCAGGTGGAAGCCCTTGTCCAGGCCACGGAGGGCGCTCCTGGTGTGCGTGGGGGGAACACGGGCGGCCCCCACCTCAAAGAATTGGTCAGCCCAGGACCCGCGGAGCCCTGCTTTTCCCAGCGGTTGGCCCCCTGGGTCTGTGCCTGCCTGCCGGCGGCGCCACCCTCCAGGGAATAGGGGAGACAGGCGTCCCTCCCCAAGGGGGTGGTGTGGGTCACAGCCGCAGAACCACAGCTTTCTGAAGGCCCCGCGTGAACGCCAGGTCTCTGAGTTGCCAGGCCGCACGTGGGATCTGACTCAGTGGGCTGAAGGGACACAGGTACCCTCGGTGGTGTCGTCCCTGAACCCGCACATCGGCATCGTGAGGGCAGGGAACTAGGCGGCTGGCCGGTCAGGTCAGGACACCTGGGGGACTGGGCCACGGGCGGGTCAGGGCCGTGGTTGGTGGGTGTGGTGCCCTCGGCCGGGGCCGGGGCCGGGACTCGGAGCTCCGCGGGGCCACAGCAAACCCGAGTGCCGTGCGGGTGTTTCCGCAGGTGGGCGTCCGAGGCAAAGACATCGTGGTCCTGGGCGTGGAGAAGAAGTCGGTGGCCAAACTGCAGGATGAAAGGACGGTGCGGAAGATCTGCGCCCTGGACGACAACGTCTGCATGGCCTTCGCGGGTGCGCCGGCGGCTGCGGGGTCTTGGGGGCTGGGTGCACCCCAGTCCTCCAGGGCGGGGGCTCGGGCCTTTAAGTCAAGGGGTGCAGGAAAGGTGGCCCCGGGACGCGGGCGCTGCGGCCACCTCCACGGGCGTCAGCGCGTCCCTGGTCGTCCTCACGGTCTGTAGAGAGAGGTCAGGCTGCCCACAGCTACTGCGCCTGTGAGGCGGGGGCTGTGGGCGCAGGGTCTCAGCACTCTCCTCTCTCGGGGTCCAGTCTGGGGACGTCTGAGGCTCCTGGGGTTGCCCTGCCCGGCTCCGCGTGGCCTGGCACGCCCTGGTCTCAGTGCGCCCGGTGCTCTCAGGAGGGTCACGGGGGCTAACCGGGCCTCCCGGTCCACCGGGGGTCGGTGCCTTGGACGGCCCCAGTGCTGGGCCGCAGGGAACCCATGCTGTCTGCTCGTGCGACCCGTGTTTGCACGTGAGCGCAATCAGCACGGCGCCGCCGTCTGCTGTCCCCGCAGGCCTCACCGCCGACGCGAGGATCGTCATCAACAGGGCCCGGGTGGAGTGCCAGAGCCACCGGCTGACGGTGGAGGACCCGGTCACCGTGGAGTACATCACCCGCTACATCGCCAGCCTGAAGCAGGTGCGCCCCCCGAGGCTCGGCTCTGGGCACGGGCGGTCCCTCCTGCGTCCCGGAGGGTGTCCCACTGCGTGCTGCGTGGGTGCCGGCACATGTTGGGGCGGGGAAGCTGAGGCCTGCGCCAGCGCCCCCATGCCCAGCCCTGCTCTTCCTCCCTCGCCCGTCACCTGCCCGTGCGGCTGGCACGGTGCTCGTCGACTGGCACCACGGGGCAATCCCCAAGTGCTGTTAATGACAGTCGCCTCAGGAGGGGGAGGGGCGGGCCGGCACGGGCGCAGCGGTGTGGGCGTGAGCGTGGGGAGTGACGGGTGCTGACGGCGCACTCCGGGCCCGTCGTGGGGAGACGGCACGCGGACCCTGACCCATCCTCCTCCCGCCAGCGCTACACCCAGAGCAACGGGCGCAGGCCGTTTGGCATCTCCGCGCTCATCGTGGGCTTCGACTTCGACGGCACCCCCCGGCTGTACCAGACCGACCCGTCGGGCACCTACCACGCCTGGAAGGTGAGGCTCGGGCGGCGCGGGGGCCGCGCCTCCTGTGTGTCGCACTGCCTCGGGCTGCAGGCGTGTGCACTCGCACTGGCTGTCCCGGACACTGACCCTCCCGGGGGAGCCGGGGGTTGTGCAGGGGCCCCGTCTGGGAGACTTGGGCAGCGAGCTGGAAGGACGCAGCCTCACGGCGAAAGGCGCAGGTGTGTGGACCAGGAAATGCCACCTGTCACGGGCGAGGGTCAGGGGCTCCGGGCAGCCTTCGCCTGGAGGCGGGGGCGGGGCCCAGGGCTCAGGGCCCAGACTGCCTCCCGGCCCAGCGCAGAGTAGCGGGCCCACGCGGTGGCCACCTTGTCGGACTGGCTCTGGATTGTCCCGTCCAGTGCCACAGAACACACGTGTCTTTCAGGCCAACGCGATTGGCCGGGGAGCCAAGTCCGTGCGCGAGTTCTTAGAGAAGAATTACACCGACGAGGCCATTGAGACCGATGGGCTGACCATCAAGCTGGTCATCAAGGCTCTCCTGGAAGTAAGTTTGCTTCTGAGGTCTGGGCGGCCAGCGAGACACTCACGCCGCGGCAGTGTCCCTCTGGCTGGGTGGCAGGGATGGAGGCCGCAGGAGCTCCCTCGCTTGCACCAGCCCCCATGTGCACAGCAGGTGCAGGCCAGGCCCCGCTCACCGCCATCGCGCAGCCTCAGGGGCTCCAGCTGCTACAGGAGCGGCAATGAGGGGGGCTGGGCGAGCTGGCTGGGAGCTGGGGGGCTCTGGACCTTGGAGGTGCTGGTGGGAGGGCTGGCAGGTGGGACGGAGGGTCTGCTGTGCCCGAGTCTGCCTGCAGGAGGCAGGAGGGGGGCAGAGGCTGCGGGGGCTGGGTGCACGGGCGCCCGTTTAGGGAGCTGTGGTCCTGGGGTGGGCGAGGCTGGCTGAGGCACTTCTCCCCCCCACTCCCCGCCCCCCAGGTGGTGCAGTCCGGGGGCAAGAACATCGAGCTGGCCGTCATGCGGCGCGACCAGCCACTCAAGGTAAAGGCTGGGTGTTGGCTGTGTGTGCAGTGGCCCACTCCCACGCATGGGTGGGGGCAGTGCCGGCTCCTGTGGGCCTTGGGGGTGTCCCCACGACCCGGTGGGAAGCGAGTGCTGACCCCTGGTCCCGGGTGGCCCTCCCGTGCTGCCCTGGCCCTCGAACAAGCTGGCGGCAGGCGTGCACACTGCTCCACCCCCTCCGGGGCCGGACCCCACCGGCACCTGGCCTTGTCTCCTCGCGGGCGCAGCTATGGGGGTCCCGGAGCCCCTCCCCCAGGGGCTCACCAGAAACACTCCCTTTGGTAGATTCTAAATCCTGAAGAAATTGAGAAGTATGTTGCTGAAATTGAAAAAGAGAAGGAAGAAAACGAGAAGAAGAAACAGAAGAAAGCATCGTGATGGACAGAGGGCTCTGGCTGGGAGTGATTTTTAAATTCCGGTCATGGGTGATGGGGGGGGGTACGCATCGGCATCTCCATGCCGCCCAAGCGTCTGCAATAAACTCGCGTTTTTTAGCCTCGTCTTCCTCGTAGATCATGTGCCCCCCCCGGGGGGGGGGGAGCTGTGAGCGTGAGCCGTCGGTCAGCACGCTCCTGAGTGTGGGGACTGCTCCCCTGCCTGCCCGCCCGCCCCTCGGGGCCACGGAAGGGCTCTCGGGAGTGGTCCAGCAGCTCGGGGCCGTCCACAGCTGCTGTCGGCGGGGAGCCCGGCACTTCTGGCGGGGGTAGGAGTGCCCCCTCAGGGCTCCCCAACAGGCTGACCCTGTTCCCTGGACCTTGTTCAGGCTAATCAGCATAAGGTGGCGGCCGGGAGCCCAAGGGCACTCGGCGTGAAATGTCAACCCCGACTTTCCTGGTGGGGCAGCTCTGTTCTGACGCAGCCTCGGACCTCTGGTTCTGGGTACCGTCTCGGGGCCACTACTGTCTCCCTGCGGCGCGCGGGGCCTGCCAGAAGCCCGCCCCTCAGGGCCCCAGGCCAGCAGCAGCGGGTCCCCCTGCAGCACCCAGCAGAAGACCAGCCACTGCCTGCGCAGCGATGCGGCTCCGCTCCACCCGAGGCCCTGCCAGTCCAGGTGACCGGTGGGTGGCCCGCCGTCCGCCGGGCCTGCTACAGTGCACCTTCTGAGGATACGGCCGGCCCGGCATGGAACAGGCGGTTATCAAAGCACTTTCAGGGCGACTCGCCTGTTTAACTAGAGTCTCCAGCAAACTTACAGGTGCTTTCCCGCATGTAACCTGCAGTTTGCGCCCGGTCTCTGACGGGAACGAGGACACGAACTGAACAGGTGCCGCCAGCAGCGGGATCGGCCCGTGTGTAGTGCCCACGGAAGCGGGGGTGCCTCGGGCACTCCGGGGCATCTTCTCTCCCGGTCAGGGACATCGGCGGCCCGAACAAGGGGAAGGTGGACAGGCACCGGCTGCGGTGTGTGCAGGGACGGCTGCTGCCCCGGCCGGAGGGAGGACAGGCGCAGCTGGCTGACCGGCCCGTCCTGTGGGGTTGCTTCCGACGGCGCCCATCTCGGTGGAGGGGGCACTGGGAAGCAGCTGTTCTGCACGGCCCCAGGGGGCTCCTGAGCAGGTCCATCTGTGTCGAAGAGCCGTGCCACTCCGGGCGGGGGCGGGGGCAGGGACTCGGCGACCAGCCCACCCATGGCGTGTCGGGCATGACAGGGTTCAGGCAGAGCCAGACGGGACCACTTACTTCGGGGCAGAGAAGCAAGTCTTAAATTAAAGTCTGCGTGTTTATTTTAATTACAATTTACATTACTCCAACAGAGCAGCCCTGTTGCTACGTTCTAAGTCTTAGCCGTAAGTCCTATAAAAATAAACCCAAGCTTTTACAGTAACTTAATACAGAACCAAAATCTTCAGAGCTGCCCGGGGGTCAGTCCCCACGGCGCTCCGGCTGGCCGCGACGCCCCGCCCCGCCCCGGAGGGGCGCATGCTCGTGCCAGGGTGCCCCGCTCACGCATGCGACGGTGCACAGCCCGCCTCCCTCCCGCCGCCCACGAAAGAAACAACTATGTACAGCTCAGGAGAACGTGCTCTCGGTCGGCTGGCCTCTTGGGAAACGCGGGCTCACGTCCAAGAGGGGCAGCCGCCGATGGTGGCTGGAGCCGAGCCCCAGAGCCTGGCCAGGCCACGGGCAGGCGGGGCAGAAGGCGGGGACACCACCGGCACCCGGACCCCCCTGGGGGGCCAGGCTCTGAGTGCGCACAGCCCTCGGGGGCACTCACCTCCGCCGCGCCCCCCAGGCGCCAGGCAGTCTGCGCGCTCACACAACATGATCGGTGGGGACCCCCTTTCCCTGCCCGGGGCCCCAACCCCCGGGCCGCCCCTGCCTGGCTCCCGAGGCCCCACCAGTGGCAGCGAGGGCGCCAGGCCGGCCAGCAGCACCGGGTCCAGCAGGGGGACAGGGCTGCTCCTGACTGCCGTGCAGCCAAACGGGATCTGCCTCCACTTTTAAAGTCAAAGTGAGGATCGGGCTTTCACTTTAGAAACCTTTTTTCAAAATACAACCGTAGACCGGACTGTGCAAAACTGAAGAGGAAGGGGTCCAGAGGCCTGAGAGGTCTCCCCAAAACACCCCGAAAACAAGCGGAACCTCGTCCAAGTTGCGTGACGACGGGAACAAAAACGGAGAAGGGTGACCTGACGCAGGTCTGCCCGTGAGTGCGGCGTCCTCACTCTGTGGCGTCTGCTGCTGCTTCGGCCAGAGCCTGGGGGGCCAAGGGGAGGGGGTTAGGGAAGGGATGGGGAGGGGGAAGACCACCACGTGATGCACTGAAGCAGCACCCCAAGCCCCAGCCGGGCCAGGGCTGCCCAGACCCCCACCAACCCAGCACAGAGTCCTTTCTGCACGCACTGCCCTCTGAGGACCCTGAGGGGCCCCCACTCACCTCCGCCTGCCTCCCTACACGCGGCCGGTCCCGGCTCTGTGGGAGGTGGGGTTGCGCCGCGCGGTGCCACTGCCCCTGCCCCCTCGCAGTCCACCTCGGAATCCACGGCCACGGAGAAACCTCCCTGACACGCCGAAGGTTTCCGTGTTGAGCTTCCTCTCCTCGGCCCACGTGGTCCTCCTGGAACTGAACCAGACCAGGGCGTGGGACTGACTGCAGGGCTGCGCAGCCCAGCTCTCTGAACCCAGGCACAAGGGCAGATGGCCACTGTGCTCCCGGAACAGTCGAGGGCCAGTGAGAGGGGCGGCCAGCCAGCCCCAGTCCCCGACACTGCAGGTGCACCCCGGCCAGGCGTCCTCGGACCAGCCCACTGGGCACAGAACCCACCCCTCAGTCACCCAAGGCGAGCTTGAGACGGGAGGGCTGCCAAGGAGCCGCCCGGGCTGGCCTGGCCCCTGGAGTCCCAGGGACCCGCAGCAGATCCCTTCCAAGCGGGCTCTACCGGACGAGGAGGGGCTGGCTGCACGGGCAGGGTCCCCACCACCGTGCTGGCGCTGTGGGGGCGGCGGGGACCAGCACAGCACAGCACAGCCGCAGCGCCCTGTGCTCCCCGAGCACCTCCAGCGAGGACCCACGTCCGTCCCCAGTCTCGTTCACAGCAGCGAGGCTGCATCCCCACTGCCTTTCCCGGCCGCAGACCTGCTCCCCCCTCCCGCCCCCAAGCAGCAGACCCGCCAGCCCGGCCTGGGAAGCACGTCGGAAGCCAAGCCTCCCCCGGACCCCGCTGAGACGCAGCCGCTCACTGCAGAACCTCCGCGCCAAGACGGCAGCCGGCCGCAGCCCGGGCCCTGAGCCTCTGGGCGCCCCACGGCGCCGGGTGGGGACCGGTCACCACCACAGCCCGCCGGCCCCACCCCCACACCACCCGCCCAGCTCAGGCTGGGGGGCCCCGCCTGCTGCCCGCGTCACCCGCCCTCACCCCGGTTCTCCCCGACGCGCGTCATCTTGTGTGCACATCGCCCTCGCCCTCGCTCCCCGCTCCCTGCCAGGAAGCCTCAGCGCAGCCGGCGGGGACCCCAGCACGTGCCCCGTGTACCCCCAGTGCTCAGCGTGCCCGGCACCCGGCCTGCCAGGCAGGTGGGTCGGAGCCCCCAGCACGCTCGCTCCCCGCACTCCACGCCCAGTGCAGCCGGCGCACGGGCAGCGCCAGGCCCCTGCGCCCCGCTGTCAGGGAAGAGCACCCACAACTCGGCCCTCTGAACACCCCGCAGGTCGCCTCAGGCGGCAAGGGCCTCGCGCCTCCAGGGTCAGCCGGGCACAGGAGGCAAGCCCCCGACCACTGGGGCGGGCGGGCGGGCGGGGGAGCCCAGCCCGAAGGGAGAGCCCGAGGAGGGCCGCCCGTGCCGCTGACGCTGTGTCCACGGGGGCCCCGCGGGAGCGGGCCCGGAGAGGCGCGCCCTGACCCCGAGCTGAGCGGGGGCACTGAGGGCGAGCGCCGGGGCCCCCCGCGCCCACCCACCTGGCCTTGAGCTCGGACGAGATGTTGTCGAAGAAGGACTTGGACTTGTCGTAGTAGCAGGAGGGCCCCAGGTGGTCCTCCTCGGCAGGGACCTCGTCACTGGGGGTCACCACCGCAGGGTCCTTCTCCTCTCCCTTCTCAGCTCTGTCGTCTGCAGCCAGAGGGGCACCCTGAGCTGGGGGAGCAGGCGGACGAGGCCCCTCTGTCCCGGGCAGGCCCTCCCGGCCCCTCGGCGGCGGCCGCTCTGCGCTAAGTGGCACCTCCACCTGCAGCCCCGGCCCCCGCCCCACGGGGCACGCCCCAGTCACCCTCAGAGGGCGCAGCCCCCCGCACCGCCCCCCGCCCGCTCCAGCTGCCGTCCCCCGACCCGCTCCGGGAGGCTCTTTGGGGCGCGGGCGGCTTTCCTGCAGACGCAGACCTTTGAAGTTCAGCTTCTTCTTGAACTCCTTGTCCAGCTCCTCTCGGTTGAACTGGGCGTTCGCGCTCTCGAAGTCGAAGTCGCCCTCAAACCTGATGGTGTTCTCCTTGACGTCGGCCGGGCGGCTCTGCCCTCGGGAGCGGTTCCTGGTGCGCCTGTTCCCTGCGGACAGAGGGCGGTCAGGGCCGGGGGCCACCGCAGGCAGCACCGAGCACGGGCGAGCCGGCGGCGGCGCGGGTACCTGATCGCCTCCTCTGCGGCCTCCTGTTCTCGTCGTTGACCTGCGCAGGCGCCTGCACCGCGGCGGGCGGGCTCACATCTACGGCACCAGAGGGGACAGTGAGGCGGGCGCCCACCGGGGCAGAGGCGCCCCCCCTCCCCCTGGGGATGGGGGCACGAGGCCCCAGGCAGCAGCGTGCGTGGAGAGCGGAGGGTGCGCACCCCAGGGAGCGCGCGTCTCGGTGCCGCTGGTGCCCTTGCTGCTGGGTGGGGCCGTGCGCCCGTTGAGCTGCACCCCCACGGCGCCCTTGCTGCTGGGCAGGAGCTTCTTGGCGTTCAGGTTGTCGAGGGAACCAGTCTGGACGGCCTGCTCCACCATGGGGCTCTTCCCGGCAGGGACGGACGGGAAGCCAGCTCCTGTGTCCAGGAGGGAGGCCCGGTGAGGGGAGGGGGAGGGAGGGAGGAGGAGGGGAGGGAAGGGGAGGAGGAGGGGGAGGGAGGGGGAGGGAGGAGGGGAGGGAGGGGAGGGAGGGGAGGCAGCGCCCCACCCCCGGCCAACACTCAGGTTCAGGTCGCAGGTCAGGCGGGTGCGGCAACTGCCCAGCGAGGGTCCACCTAACACAGGCAAGGCCCTTGGCGGGACCCTCCTCTGCAGGAGCCCCCACAGCCAGGCCAGCTCCACGGGGCGCCGACCCCGGCTCCGTGCTGGGACACCAGAGGAGAGAACGCCACCTGGCCGTCAGCGAGCACTCGGGGAGGTTTAGGGATGGCTTTCCAGAAACCACGCAGGTGTGGACCCCGAGGGGGCTCGGGAGTCCCGAGATGCTGGTGTGTTCCCGGTCTGAGAATGCGTATCGTGCTGGTCCGCGCTGAGTAAGCACCGGTCTGGGATGGCCCAGAGAGCGCAGTGATCGGCCACTGGGGTTAAGGCGCAGAACAGAACGCTGTCAGCTTTGCACAAGGAACGACAGAGGTGGAAAGGAGAACCTAAGCGCTAGCGGCAGAGACAGCCTGCACTGCTCTCAGAGGGGAGGCCCATCCTGAGGAGCAGGCACCAGGCTGCCCTTAGCAGTGGGGCTGCCCTGCCGGCCCAGGCCCAGGCCCAGGCCCGGGCCCAGGACAAGAACACGCAGACACAGAGCCTCCGGAGGGGCCCTTGGCAGCCGCGCGAGTGCAGAGGGACGCACCCTGTTCACTCGCTGTCGCCCCCTCCAGCCCCGGCCTGGGGAGTGGGTGGTGCTCGGAGCTGGGAGACAGAAGCCAGCCCTGACCGACCTCCAGACCCCACCCTCAAGGGGCAGCCAGGGCGAGCGAGGACTGCAGAGTTCACCGTTTCTCCCCGAGAAATAGAAACCAGAGGAATCGCTGTGACAAAGTCCTCGTTACCAGATCAAAGCACTGCCCAAGCTGACTGGCCCTCTGCAGGGTCCCTACGCTGGGCACCGCCCCTTCCCCAAAGCGCCTCCTCCAGCCCTCACAGCCCTCCCCGAGTGACACAGCTCCGGACTGCTTCCTCACACCCGGACGGACTGCTTCCTCACACCCGGACGACACGGACAAGAACCTTGGGCCCGCCTGCTCTCTCTGACGGGGGCGGAGCAGTCACACCGTCCTGCCCAGGAGCGGTGTGCAGGGTCCCAAGAACAGCAGCACGTGCGCAGTAACTTGAGACGGGAAGAAAGCATTACTCCTTGATAACCGCACACCACGTGCAAGCACAGACCGACAAACGCTGTCCTGGACGTCTCCACCATGGTCCCCCACAGTGTGGGCGGGGGCTGCCTCTGGTAACACGGGCCGACACCACAACCTGGGCCAGACGGAATGAACCGCCGCCCTCCGAAGCCCAGAAACTCCCGCCCGGACCGCTGCCGGCAGCCAGCTGGTGCGGCACAGCGAGGAACGAACGAGCCGGTCGTCGGGCCCACACGGTTCACCTGCCAATGGCTCAGGCTGGTCACCGCACTTTAAAGCGGCCTCCTGACGTGGAGCCGCCCAAGCCCCAGAGCAGCGTGCGGGCCGCCCCGCAGGCTCCCCGCCGGTCCTGCCCCACCGCGCAGGCCCCGCAGAAGCGGCGGTCCCCGGGAGACGGCCCCCCACACAGCGGGTGGAGCCGAGGGCGGCGGGTGTGGTGCAGGTCGACCCGGAGCCGGTCCCCCGGCTCTCTGACCCTCCTTCCACGCGTTAGTTACTGAGCCAGCGCCACGTGCCGAACCAGAGACACGGCTTAGCCGGCCCACGGGCTTGGCGCTCTGCCACAGCCAGGCACCTGGCGCACGCTTCACCCCTCGCCCCCTGGATGGCAGGACAGCGCGCAGCTCTCCAGACCGCCGTACCCTTGGAGGCGAGCTGGTGCGGCTCTGAGGACAGGTCGGGCTCTGCGACGGGCTGTGGAGACGGAGAGGAGCTGGGGCTGGAGGCTGCGGCTGAGGCCGGGGGGCTCACCAGCTTCTCTGGAAGGGGAGGGGAGACAAGAGCACAGAGGGGCACAGGTGAGCGACGAGAAGCTCGCCCTGCGCCCGGCAGGCGTGGAGGTTGGAGAGGCCGAGCGTCCGCCCCACGGCGCCCTGCTCGCACAGACCTCGTCGGGGACCCGGGGAGCTGGCCGGGAAGGGCACTGCCACACCAGAGGCAGCGGTGACGGCAACCGGGCTCCCTGGAGCTCAGGCCCCACAGAACCGCCGAGGGCCCGATCGCACCCTGTCGCCGCAGAGCTCCGGCCGGGGCCGGGGGTCCCTTGCTCTGAGCATGTGGGCAGCCTCAGCCCAGGGCTGTCCCCCCTGGAGGAAGGGGAGGTTCTGCGTGAGGTGCTTTCAGGAGACCGGGAGAAGGCGGTGGGGGCGCTGCGTCGGAGTCCCACGTCTACGGGCTTACAGGTGGGCAGGCAGGTAGGCGCACTGTGGTTACACCCGGTGATCACTGGTCCTTTGAGGCGGAAGTGCCACGGCCTCCCCCCAGCGAGGCCGACACCCAGACGCACATGGGTTTGGGTCGTCTGTTCTGAAACCCAAAACTGCCGCCCCTCCCCTCCGCACCCAGTCACCCAGCGCAGCAGCCCTGATGCTGCACTGAGTCACGCACTGAGTGTGCCCTACGGGCTGAACGTGACAGGAACACAGTGGCCCCCCCGTGGAGCCGAGGCCCCACGTCCCCGAGGGCAGGTCGCAGCCCTGCGGCGGAGAGCGGGTACTCACCTAGGCCCAAGGAGGCTGCGTACTGCTGGCTGAGCAGGGAGCTGGCGGCCAGCTGGCTGTAGGGCGGCATCCCGCGGAAGGGGCTGTAAGGCACGTGCGGCTGGAAGGAGGAGCCCGAGCCCAAGGAAGACTGAGCAAGGGCGCACGCAGGTGAGGGAGGCGCCGGGGGCCAGGGGGCACCCTTCAGGCAAAGGCGGCCGCCCGCTCTGCCCGCCTGCTTCCTGGGGGCTCGGCTGGCTCCCAGGGGTGAGCTCCCCGCCATCCCCTCCACATTCCCTCCCCAGCCCCACCTGCCCATGCGATTCTCACTGGGATTCTTCCCCGACTCAAGCCTTTGGCCCCGCCACTGCCTGCCATCAGGTCGTCAGTGCTCTCTGCAAGGGAGCTGGGGGGCCGCGCTGGGCTGACCCTGCCCCACAGCAAGGAGCGCAGCCGCGGGGACCACTCCCAGTCCCCCAGGCGCCGCTGGGGGCTCCTCCGCCGCACCCCCGAGCCTCCCGCAGAAAGCTGATGTACACTTAACTTGTAAGTTAAGAGAACGTTAACCCAGGCTCCCTGCTCACCCTGGGCAAAGCACTCCTGGCCCCCAAGCCCGGTGGGTGGCCTCCAGCACTGCAAGTCACCCCCGGGGCAGGGGCAGGAGAGCATGCCCGCAGGCCCGGCTAGCACCCACGCCACGGGGGCTGTCGGCTGACCCCGCTAGAAAGGACGGACGAACTCGACACCCCAAGAGCAGCCTCCCACCCTGCACCTGGCACGGACACGCACACGCACAACCTGTCTCGGTCCCCTCACCCCTGACTGCGGCCCTAGGACCCAAGACTTCCCCAGCAACTCTGACGGCCTGGACAAAGCGACTTGTCACTAAAAGGCCATCCCTCTGTCGAGTATTCTGGCCAAACAGGCGACAGCAAGCTCCCCTCGGAGCCGCTCCCCTCGGAGCCGCGCCCCCTCCCCGGCGCGGGGCCACGCACTCACTTGGACGATGGCCGGGTCCTGAGGGAGGGTGTGCGGCGCCTTCGGGGGCTCGCACACCGTGATGTCTTTGATGTCGCTGCCCCGGAAGATGATGTACTCGTAGATCTCCTCCCGCGGGGGCGCAGGCCTGTCCGTGGGCCGGTCCTCGGTGCCGAAGGACCGCACTGGGGAGCGGAGACCGGCGCCGTCAGCGGTGCCCCCAGCCTGGTGCACCCAGTCGGACCCCCGGGGGGCAACCCCTGCCTGGGGCGCCCTCCGGGGCCGGGTGTCCACGTTGCTACCACTCCACCCCCATTTCCGTCGGACAACACCCACGAGACCCCCGCTGGCAGAGCCCCGAGAAGCTCTGGGTCAGAGATGCCAACAGGGAGCGACCCCTGCGCCTGGCAGTCGCACGAAACCACGTTGCCAGGCGGGAGCACGGAAGGCCCGGCGCCCGCCGCAGAGCAGGGTCTGCGTGATGGGCTGAGCGCCCCCCAGCTGCTGTCTGAGCCCACGCCGCGCCCGGGCAGGCCGTTTTCTCCGGAGAGAGCCGGCCGGATCCCGCACAGCCAGCCTGGGCGGAGCCGACGCACAGACAATGGGCGCGGGGCCCGGAACTCGACACCCGCCCCCAGCCTCTGTGTCTCGGAAGGGACCTCACCGTGGCCGCAGGAGCCCAGCTGAGCCCCTCCTCGGGCCTCGGGGGCAGCCCCGGTCTACAATCGGGGGGCAGCCCCCGCTGCAGCCCCGGCTCCTCTGAGTCTCGGCCTCCCCACCTGGGAGGTCGCGCCAAATGGAGTCGACCGCCCGGAACTACCCCCTGGAGCGGCGCAGCCCACCCCACGACGGGAGCGCCAGGCTCTGCAAGGACCCGGGCTCCGAGCCTGGGGCCCCGCGGACCGAGGTGCGGGCCAGCTCGAGCTTGACCCCTAACTAACGGCTGACGGCCGGTTCTCGGGCCCCCAAGACCCGCCCCCGCCCCCGCAGGCCGGGCTGCACTCAGCCCGGCCCTGGAAGAGACAGAGAAAGGGCACTCGCCATCTTTCCCGGAGAATGCAGACAAAGAAACTTTGAGGCCCCTCCTGCCTCCGCGAGGCCGGGGGGAAGCCGCGGCGCAGCCGCCCAGGACGGCTCAGGGTGGTCCCCGGGGCGCGCACACACAGACCTGCCGCCGAAGGGCAGACCCCCCGGGCGAACGCGGGGCAGGGTGGGCAGACGCTCTGAATGGGGATGCTCGGCCGCGGCGCCGCCCGGCAGGAGGTCCCGCCCCGACGAGGAATTAGCCCAGGCCCCAGGCCCCGGCTGCTTAATGGGTTCCAGAAGGGCTCGCGGGAGCCCGCTCCCCGCACCCCCCGGCCTCCAGGGGAGGGCCCGAGAGCCCCCGGCCCCGCCCGCGCGGGGACCGCTTCCCGGCGCCAGCGGCCCCTCGGGCAGGTGGGGAGCAAGCGGCGGCCGACCCCCACCTGCAGGGGCGGGCTGCGCGCGGGCGGCGGCGGCGGCGCCGCGGGAGCTGGACCCGCCCCGCCTCCCCGCCTCCCCGGCCCGACGCCGGCTGGGCGCGCCGGCCGCACACAATAACGCCGCGGCCGAGGGAGACCATTGTCCCGACGAGCCCGGGGGAGCGCAGCGGAGGCCCGGAGGGAGGGGAGCCGGGACGCCCGGAGGTGCGGGCGGGGGGCGCCCGGGCCGCGGGGGGCGGGGGTGCCCGGAGGACAAGGGCCTGCGGGGGGCCGGCTGGAAGCGAGGGCCCGCGGGGAAGGGAGTGGCCGGCGGGGAGGGCCCGCGGGGGCGGGGGAGGGGCGGCCGCGGGTGGAGGGCCCGGGAGCGCGGCGCCCGGGCCGGGGGCCGCGGGTGGGGGTGGGGCGGGGTTGTTGGCGGGCGCGGGCGGGCGGGCGGGCGGTTGGGGCGGCGGCGGGGCCGCTACCTTTGGCGAGCGCCACGGTGGAGTTGTCCGTGTCGATGGTGTAGAGGATGCCCTCGTAGCGGATCTGCGCCTTGGAGATGAGGCTGATCTTGCTGCCCAGGTACGGGGTGCCCGACGAGCCGCTCATGGCGACGGCCGCCCGGCCGGGCCCGGCCCGCTCGCCTTCGCGCGGTCGCCTCGCCGTCCGCTCCGCTTGCGCGCCTCCACACCGCCGGCCGAGGGGCCCGCGCAGGGACCAGCTAGCGAGTGGCGGCGCGCGGCCGGGGTCTCTGAGGGGAGCGCGGGGGAGGAGGGGCCGCAGCAGCCACATCCGGGGCTTCGCGCCGCCACGCCCCGCCCCTCACGCTCGCCGCCCATTGGCGCACTGCGCTGGCCGCCCTTTAAATATGGCCGCGCCGCCCGCCTGGGGGGCGGGCCCGCGCCCGCGCCTGCGTAGCGAGCCCCGCCCGTCCGCCCGCCTGGCTTTCCCCCACTCTCCGCCTCCTACTTAGGTCGGCTCCCGGCGGGCCCCGCGCTGGGTGGGAGCACGAGACCAAGCGGGCTGGCCTAGGGGAGGGGTGGGAATCGGGCGTCGCGGAACGCGCGTGCGCGGGGCGGGTGGGCGGGGTCGAAGGAGCAGGGTAGGTAGGCGGAGTTGGGGGCGCTGGGGGCGGGGCGGGGTGCGCGTGCGCTGGGCGGGGACGGAGCTCTAGGCCCCGCCCGCCGCGCGTGCCAGCTCCGTCCCGGCCCCGGCGCCTGAGCGTGCAGACTGCTGTGCCGGTCTCGGTTTTCTTTTCGCGGACGCGTGCTCGCACCTTTTTGCCCTCCCTGGGCCAGAGAGTCGACCAGCTGAGATGCGTCCCGACTCCTCCCCCTTCCCCAGCACCTGCGGGCCGGCTTGGGGGGTTTCCCTGTCCAAACAGTAAAGCGTGGGGATTCCCTGTCTTGGGGGGGTGAAGCCGGGGTTGGGCGTCCTTGTCCTGTCGGGGGGGGGGTGAAACCGGGGTGGGGTTGTCCCAGTCCCGCAGGGCGACCGCGCAGGCCCCTGTTTGGGGGACGAAGTCGGGAGGTTAGGGGAGGTCTCTGCTCCCCGGGGCGAAGTCGGGGGCGCCCTCCAGGCGCGGGGCGCAGTAGTAGCTGTGGGTAACGAACACTTCCGGCACGTCGGTCACTAAATGAAACGAGCTGAGAGCTTCTTCCCTTTAACCCTGCCCCTCCCCCAAACTTGCACCGACGTTCCCTGTCCTTAAAATAAATCGCACCACCACCAGGGCCTCAAAGCCCCGCCTAACGTGCCCTGCCCGTCGCTTTGCCCGGAGCTCCCGAGGCCTGGCCCAGCCCGCTGCCTGTGAAGTGGAGGAACGGGCCGCCCTCCGTGGGCTCAGACCCATCTTCCCCGCCCAGGGCGCAGCTCCAGTAGTGACTGCGTGCGCCGCTCGCTTGCTTTTTGTCTGCCTCTCCACCGTACACGTCAGGTCAGGGGCCACTGGAATACTGGAATAAATACTGGAAAAAAGCTTAGTGGGTGGTGACCTGTATTTTATGAAAATAAAACAGGACGAAGTAGAAAATATCAGGGAGGCTCCTGCGTAGAGTGTCGCTTTGTGAAGCAGTTATTTCACTTATGCGTAGTATTCAAGTGGGTACTTGTTCAAGATGTGAGGTGTGTTTCTTTCCGCGAGCGCCAGACAAAAAAGGGAAAGCCGCTTCAGAGAACTCGCCCACCAAGCAACACAAGGGCGTTCTGACTCCCCTCTCCCAGCACAGTCCAGGGGAGCAGGCGTCTGCCCTTCGTGAACCCCTCGTCCCAGCAGCTCCAGGCAACATCCAGTAAAAAACAGTAACGGGTTTGAGAAAAGGGTGGATTAGAAGAGCAAATGGAAAAGTCTTCAAAGCTATCTGCCAAAATGTACGTGTACGTTCCAGAGTGGCTTCTCGGCTCCCGGAAAGTTCTGCTGGTGAGAATGGGGGCAGCCAAGCCCCAGTAAGAGAGGGCAGTGACAGGGCCTCCCCCTCCCCCAGGAGTGCCCCTGTCTGGGGTAGGTGCTGCCCCAGGTCTCTGGAGCACCTCATGTCCTCCTCGCCCCCACTTTCAGGTCCAGATAATGACATGCCCAAGGTCATGGGTTCAGGGTGTGTGTGTCGGGGGTGGGGCTGCATTCTTCACTAACAGAGCTGATTCTATCTCGGAAAAGGGAATTGGACCCAGAGCCCCAGGACCAGGGTGGGGTGCACTTCGTGGGCACCTCCGAGAGCTCCTCAGGGTCCTGGGTGTGAGTGTAGCTGGGTAGCTCCCTGAGGAGGTTCACCGCAGTGCATGTAAGTAGGCAAAGGCTAAAAATACCCACCACACACAGGTCCAGGGATGCCGGCTCTGCCGTTCATTCCGTGGTCTCTGGTGCAGAGTGGAAGGCGCTTGTGAAAGGTCGGAGAAGGGGGAGGTGTGCTTCGACCTGAACTTGACCCAGGAGCCAATCCATGTGGCCTGTTGGGGAGACACAGCTGCCTGGCACCTCCAACTTAAACAGCTGCTCACGGTGCCCACCCACTGGGTGACCCCTGAGCCGTGGACTCCTGCGCAGGGGGTCTAGGGGGACAAGCTGAGAATCTGGAAAACCTGGGACAGTCAGGCTTCCTGCCTCGGTTTCTGCGTTCACCAAGTGGAGATTGCGGCTCCTCTGCCCGTCTCACAGGTAGGTGTGAGGGTCCCAGAAGACAAGGCCTGTGAAGGGCTCTGAGAGGGGCCAGGGCCCCCAGAGCAGAGGCCTGGCATGCAGAAGGCCCCAGAGGCAGCTGGCGAGGTCTCCGCGGCAGCCACAAGCTGCTTTCTAAGCGCCTGCTGTGTGTGGAGGGGCGTGGGGAGAGGCGAAGCAACCCCTGATAAAAGCAGCAGCTGTGGCCGTGTAGACCGAGGACTCTGCCCTAGGTGCCATTGCCAGTCTAGCTGGGGTCACGCAGCCAGTGCCCTGCAGTCGGTGGGGGGCACACATCACAGGGATCACAGGGAAGCCTTCTGTAACTTGAACATACAGCTTCAGAAAGAAGAATGCACGGCTGTTGATTTCACGGTATCGATGCTCAGCAGGGAGGGACAAAACAGAACAGGTGGGTTGGTTCAAAGAAATGCCGGGAACAGGCAGCGGAGGTCTGAAGTGTCGGGTGAGCCAGCGAGACTGGACCTCCTGGCCTGTCCCCTCCTCCCCCCCGTCCTGGCACAGGGAGGGGCAGGCGCTCACGCTGCCTGGCCCAGCCAGCAGGCAGGGCTCGGAGGGGTCGCAGTGGGCTGTGCCCGGAGGTCAGGGATGGCCCTGAAGGTGTCCCCAGGAGGTCACTGCGCAGGGAAAGGGGCCGGGAGGCCCAGGGAGGGTGGGTCAGGGCCCCTGACCCGAGCTGTGGCTCTGAACGCAGCAGCCAGCAGGGAGGGCGGAGCTGGTCTTGCACTGGCAGAGACTGTCCCTGGGTATGACCTGCTCTAGGATCCTGCTGAATCCAGCCCCTCCCGCACTGGGCCTGCAGCTTCCTGCACCTCGAACCCTCTCTCTCCCCCTTCCCTACTTTCCTCTCTCCACCCCCTCCTCCACTCCCCTCCCCACCCCGCCCCCAGCTGCTGTGGAGCAGGTGCCGGGCAGCAGTGATGTGGGAGACCCCGACTCAGGGCGCCTCCCGCCCACCTGCACCCCTCGTGGGGCTCCTCTGCTGGCCTCCGCTGGCCTCGGGTGCTAGCCCAGAGCCACCTCCCGGACATTGCCTCCTGGTGGTTCCCCAGGGGAGAGGGGAAAGGATGACAACAGCCACCGAGGCCAAGGCCAGGGTGAGGAAATGGCATGTAGGGCCTGAGGTTCCCCGGAGCACACTGCCCCATGCCCCCCCCGGGGGTGGGTTTTATTTATGAGAGATGGTTCAGAAGACTGAATGGCAGTTCAGGTGGTTCATGGTGGCGTCTGTGCTGACGGAAGAGCCTGGGGCACTGGGCATGCGTAGACCTCAGGGCAGCGAGCAGCGAGAGAGACACACACACGTGGACAATGAAGGGGCCGGCTCCAGGCTGGCCCCAGTGTGCAGGCCATCAGAAGTCGGGCGGGCAGTCCCTGGGGCCCGATGGCTGGGAGGGGACAGCATGGGGGGGCACTTTCAGGGCAGCCGTGGGTGCTGTTTACTCAGGTGCACACGTTGCATTTGGGAAAATCCATCAAGCTGAACACTCGTGACCGGAGCACTCTCCTGCACACGTGTTGCCCTGGAGCCAGCCCTCCGCCCTCTCACTAAGTGGCCGGGGTGGCCGGTGTGGGCTGAGGCCCCTCTGCCAGCCCACGTGCCTGGCCTGTCTCCAGCCCTGGGAGGTGGGACGCTGCCCTTCGGCGGCCAGGAAACCGGCCTGGGCAGGGTGCTCAGCCAGGGCCACGCAGCCAGCACGTGGCAGGACGGGGGCTCTGGAGTAGCACTCAGCCTGGGAGGCGGAGCAGCTGCAGCAGCAGCAGCGACGTCTGCCCCCGAGGCAGATGGTCCTGAGGCTGGAGCTGAACACTGGGGGGGGCGGGGCGGGCGGGGTGGCAGTGAGTCGAGACACTCCCTCCTTGCTTTCCACCCTCTCTCCACCACACGCAGAGGATACGGAACGCAACGCAAACCTCAAGGCTGGGCGCCTGCCTGATGGTTCATGAGTGCCAGTGCAGCCAAGCCCCAGCCCTGACTGAGAGCGGCGGCCTGAGCAGACGGTGGTGGCGGTGGCAGAGGGCAGGAGGGACAGTCCAGGCTCCCCAAAGCCTGTCCTCACCGGACAGTGTCTGTCCGTCTTGGTGGTGTATGCTAGCAGAGCTTCGCAGCTTCTCTGGGGTACAGACAGCCCCTCTCCTCCTGTAGGAGCCCAGCTAGGTGGTGACCCAAGTGGTTATAAGCCTGGTGGCCTGGCCAGGCCGTGGGGACAGCTGCCGAGAGGCCCCTGTTGTTTCCTGGGGGTGAGAATTCTGCATGCCCCCCTCCCCCGCAGACTCGGCTGGGGCAAAGGCGCTGTCTGAGGAGCCAGGCTCTGCGTGCACACCTTGAAGTCCCCGCCCCCGGGGGGGTCCCACCAGGGCCCTGCCCTGCTGTTGGCGTAACCGTCAAGCTCAGCTGAGCACCCAGCTGCCTTCGAAGTTCAGCCGCGGTGGCTCTAGCATCTGGATGGAAACCGGAGTTTTTCTGCTCTTCTGCCTGCGATGGGGATGTGGGCCCCTTTAAAGCCGCTAATGAGACTCGGCCCTCCTCTCAGTTTGCGAGTGCTTGTTAATTGCCCTCCTTGTCATTAGTCGCTAAGTCGCGGCAGCTTCGTTAACAACTCTCCAGGTCCATCGCAAACAGCTGAACCGCTTTGTATCGTGACCCTGGGACACC